TTCCAAACATTTGACCTCTTCTCCTTTCTCACACGCACATGCCTACATATTCTGCAATGTTGGACAACCATTGAAATGCATAATTAATCACTTCTCTTCGCACGGTATAGCAAGAAGGTTACAGTAGGCTGAATTGCTGCAACTTTGAGAAGAGCAAGAAGGACGACCCAGGGACCCACAGGTCTGTCAGCCTTAGCTCTGTCCCTAGATTGACTGTTGACCAAATACACCTGGAAGCCTTTTCCAAGCACTTGCAGGACACGAAGGTGGCTGGGAACAGCCAGTGTAATGTGCCTTTACCAAGGACAAAGATTTGATAAGAAGGTTGGCTCAGCAGAAAAGGAAAGAGCAGTGGATGCTGTTTACCTTGACTTTAGGGAGGCATTTGACATTGTCTCCCACAACATCTTTGTAGTCACAGAGGTAAAATATGGAGCGGGGCATAGGGTGCGTTGGGTAGTTGGCTGGGCTCTTGGGTACAATAGATGGTGATCAGCAGTGCAAGGTCCACCAAAAAGGTGGCTGGTGCCAGTGCACTCTCAGCAAGTTCTTGTAATACCTATTTGAAGGGTGGTGGTGGTGTCATAGAATCTGGAATATCAAGCCTTCTATTCAAAGGGGCCTTTCCTTTTTTACCATTGTTTTCTTTCTTATACCAAGAACTTTTTTACACAAAAGCTATAAAAAAAAATAATAAACAAAACAAAACAAAACAAAAAAAACAGGAAGACTAAAGAAACTTTCAAAAGCTAGGGCATTACAGAATGAAAATTGACCAAGAAGCTTTCATGTGGTCTTCTTACACACCAGTAAGAGTATAACACAGACTTTAATTTTAGGGACAGACACAAAGCCTACATTCCTCATTTACTGAGTCCTGGACTTCAGACTTCTGGAATCTGATATGATCCTGAACATGGTGAAGTTAACTGTGAAACATACTTGTAGTTTGAATGTATGATGGTAGGTATTCTCAAAATACCCAGCTTCGGGTGTCTCACACTGGGTATTCTGAATTCATAGATATGTAAGATAAATTTTCTTTTGGCCAATTTGTTTCATTTTCCCATTTGTATAACAGAGCTAATACCTTCTTCCCCAAATGACCATCCCAAATACTGTAAAGAAAAGTAACCCAGAAAAGCACATGAAAATAATTTATTTCTGTGTTGAGTTATGGGATTAGTACAGGTATTTGGAGCACATGATAAGATCCAGTGTTCATCATGAAACGTTAAATAATACCCAACTTCACTGAGCATGATCCCCATTTATCCATTAGAGAGATTGCCCTGGGTGATTGAAAATGGTGAAATTAAAGACTGTAAACAAGATCTACTAAGGAATGTAAGCCTGTAAGTCCCAAACAGATGATCCTGAAAACTACCCGTGCAGTTCCAGCACGGGCACCTTGTAATTTTACTTTGCTTCCCTACGTAATGTTCCCCTAGAGAAACAGCCCTGGGTATGCCCTAGTCTGGCAACAATCTGGAAGGAACTAAGCAGCTGAACATTTATTTAATGCTTATGCATAGTTGGATGAACAAGAGGCTTTCTACAGCAGAGGTTCTTGGAACCATGTAACAACCATCACAAGTCTAGGCTCTCTACAAAATACAATTCAGGCTTTCTCTCAAAAAGTGATGGTATTGATGCCCATCTTTCATATGACACGTTGCACCAATAGCTTGAATTAGAAGAATGAAGAAAGTTCTCAGCCCAGAAAAACCTGAGGGCTTGTGGTTTTATTGTTACATTGAAAATAAGGATGTGATTCTCAATCTCCAGAGGCTGGAAAGTCCTGTCTCCTATATCATATGTGAATACTTTGACTTCTGAACTACCAGTTGAAGGAAACTACTCTATCTAGCTTTGCTATACGGCCAGCAGGCAGAGGCTGCAAGCAAGAGTGTAAAGAATGTCTCGTTTGAGGGGCCTGGTATGGCTCAACATGATCAAAGCTCCTGTACTAACTGCTCTGCAGTCTGAAGACTGAGTTGCTTACAGGCCTAACAAACAAACAAACAAAAAAACAGACCTTTGGGGTACAACTACGTTAGCCACACGGCACCATGAGGGCATGGGAGAACTTGCTTTAAATGAGCAAGAATGAGAAGAGCACAGTCATGTAGTTCAGCAATCTGCTCCTGCCAGTTAGCCCTCTGGGTAGCTGAAGAGGACACCTGCCGCCGCAGTACGCAACCAGCCGCACCCCAAGGCCCAGCGAGTAGTTCCACTTCGCAGCGCCTTGTTCCACCTCAGTTTGTTAGCCTCCGTGCCTCAGCTTGGCTACCTGTACATAGCACTAACTTCGTTTAGATAGATTCTTCACCACCAACGGAAATCTCAGGTTTTGTAGAAGGTTTTACAAGCCCTAAGTGTAGGCCTCAGCAAAGCTGGCCCTTGAGGGAACCTTGAGCCACCTCACAGCTTATGGGTGCTTTGCGGTGACCCCACGTTCCTTGTTTCCCCTCTCCCAGCCAGGTCTAGATCCATGACAATACTGTTTCCAAATGTGTAACCCTGGAGAATTTTGTCCTGGGGGAAAAAACAGTCACTTCTCCCTTAACCTCACTGCTTTGCCTTATTAATGAGGTAACATATAGTCTAAATGAATCAATTTTAAAAACATATAAAACAGCTTTTTATTTTCCAGGTAAAACAACAACTAGAACACTTGTTATGAAGAAAGAAAAAATCCTGTCTGTGTCACATAGACAATGCAGGTTTGGAGCACTGCATTTTCTGGGGCTTTTTTTTCAGTATAGTGAATCTTGAAGACATCTTGTCTACCTTGAGGTAATGAAATTAAGAAAAATAAAACAAAAATAGCAAGATTTAAAAAAAAATAAATCTCTTTCTAATACATTTTTGGAACCAGGGGCACTTTAGCCTCTTTCTTCTTACCATTCCGTAAGTATTTTCTAATTTCTGTTCTCCAACTTAATTTTTGTCCTTTCAGTTTAATCACAAAATACTTTTCTACTGTTTAAAATGACAAAATGTCAAAAAAAAAGGGGGGGGGAGAGAAAAAGAAAAAAAACCAACAGTGATCTACCAATACAAACCAAAACAATGCTTCCACTGCTGCAACTCAGTCAGTGGTAGTTTACAGAAAGGTTTCCTCAAAAATTCCATAGTTCTGACATGGAATAAATGTCTCCCTTTATTACTTTCCAGTGGAGAAATTACTTGCTGGTTTACACAAACCTAAGCTACTGGTGCTTTCTTGGTTAAACTGTTATTATTTTAAACAGAATTCATAGCTAAATAAGCAAAATACCCTGGGACCCACAGTGTCTCTATGAAAAAATTAAATCAACAATGCACATGCATTTATTAGTTAGGCCTTCGACTCAAGTTATAGTTGTTCCTTTTTAGTGATCTTACTTTTACCAGACCCAAAATGTGTCTCTGGTGTATTTTTATGGTCCCTCCACTGCCTTAGGAAGCTTTTGTATTATTGTGTATCATTATTTTGTTCCTGTGAGTCCTTAGAACAAAAGCCTATGAATAATATTAGGAAGTTGTCTTCCTTCTTGTTGAGAGAAATATGTGTTTTTTTTTCCACATGTAAGCACTCACTGAGTTTCACATAATCATGCCATCCGTACATGTCTGCAGTGATTCCAACTGAAACTACAAATAACTCAGAATTCCCCAAAAGTTCTAATAACAGCAGTGATTAAAATCTCTACTAATGACTTTTAGAGATACACTTGCAATATCTAATATTTGAATCAGCTGGTAAGATAAAATTACAGAAAGTCTTTGGTTAACATAGTCCCAACTAAATTCCCCAAACCTTAATTACCATGGAAACTACTTATCCTTAAGGCTCTATGGATAGCTGAAATATTTTCTCTTGACAAAAACGGGAGTAAGGCCAAAAAAATATGGGACTGTACGTAATGAGGCCTTTGATCTTTCATTTACTTCTGTGTTAATTAGATATAACCTCAATGAAGCAAATCAAGTTACACAGTTTAATTAGTTTACAGGACAGGAGAAGCAGATTTGAGATGTTGTCTAGTTCTTCTTTTTTTCTAGGTCTTCTTCCATTAGCCTCATGAATTTATGTTAACACATTTAAGTTTTCTAGTAAAAGAAACCCAGTAGTGCAAAATATTATTTGTAAATAAAATTAGTGGACATATTCCAAGTTTTGAGACAATTCTGGAAACAAGTCTGGAGACAATTAAGAGGAATAATCTGTTCCACTGAGGTGCTGAGTTTAAGCTGGAAAATTAGGTCAGGAACAGAAATCCTCATTTCCAGTTTTATATATATTAAATCTCTAATTAGTTGTAGGGGTTCTCGTTCCAAGAAAACGTTTTAAGAGCTTTTAATGGACTAAAAGTAATTTGCAGTGAAGTTACGATAAAAAACCCTGGCACGTTATGCAGGTAAGTTATGGATACCCCTTCATTTTATGTTGTTGGATAGGGCTTTGGGCAACCTGACCTCAGGAAAGAAGCCCCTGCACGTATCAGGGGGTTGCAGTACGTGATCTCTTAAGGATCCTGCCAGCCCAAGCCATTCTGTGATTCTATGACAAAACCCCATAGCAGCTTCCAAGCAGATGCTCGCCATGAGTTAATTTATTTGTGCTCTGTGACCAAACGCCTAGAACGTGTGCATGCGGGAGAGCACCACAGGCTCAGGATATAATATATATAATGTATGTAAACCCGCCAGCGCATCGTGTTTGTTGAAGGCTTCCCATCTCCATGTTGTTAAGCCTGATTATAAGGTGCGCTGCGGTGCTAATTTGTATTAAACACCTCTCATCTTATCGCAGGGTCTCTTCCCTGCCGAGCACTGAGCTGGGCTGTTGTGCAAGTACCCCAAGTGTAACAACAACAGGCCATGCCATGCCCTTGCCGGCCACCCCGGGCCCGCTGCCCGCCGCCGGCCCCTGCGAGCAGCCCCTGGGGGCGCAGCGACACCGCAAGCCCCCGCCCCGCCGCGCACGCGCCCCCCGCTCCCCGCCCGCCGGGAGTCCGCGCAAGCGCACAGCGCGGGGTCCCGGCAGCGAGGCAAGATGGCGGCCGGCGGGCAGACGCCGGGTGGCGGTAACATGGCGGTCGGCGGGGCAGGCCCCGAGCGCGGTGCAGAGCCGCCGGCCCCGGAGCGAGTCCTCTTCCCGCCGACGTTCAGCGTGTCCGAGATCAAGAACAAGCAGCGCCGGCACTTCATGTTCGTCCGCTGGAAGCAGCAGCAGAGGAAGGTGGGGCAGGCGGGCGGGCGGGCGCGGAGGGCGGGCGGGCAGGCTTGGGCCGTGCTAACGCCGCTGTGCCCCCGCAGGAGAAGCTGGCCCTCAGGAAGAAGCGGAGGAAGGAGCGAGAAGCCCTCGGAGACAAGGTGAGGGCTGCGGTGAGCGGCTGGGGGAGCGAGCAGGGGCGCTGCCCGGCTGTTCCCCGACCCGTCCAAGCCTCTCGGCGCGGGTTCTCAGGCGTCGTGTAGGTATAGCTGGGAGTTACGCTCTCATAAGCAGTACTCTTATAAACCGTAGCTAGGAGTTACACTTTCATAAGCAATATCCTTATAAACCAGAGCAACCGATCTGCCCAGACCAGTTGTCCGCTTTTTTCAGCTTTGGACAAGGGTTTGGCATCTCTTCCTAAACTACTTCTCAAGCATAATGAGTTTAAATAAGTTGTGAGGTCCTGTATTATCATAATTTTACAATAGTAAATGGGGCAAACAATGTATCCTGTTTATTATTAAACTGTAGGTGTCAAGGATATAATGTATTGCTGTTAAGTGGATTTTTTTTTAATTCCACAGTACAAAAGATAGACAAATCTCTCACATCTTGTTTTATTTTGTTTGCTTTGGAATTGTGTTTCATCTATTACAGTGGAATTAAGCAGTGTTGCTGTTCTAGTGATGCTTTTCATCTGTGTGATGCTCTCCCTCCATGTGATGCTTTCAGGCATTCCAATACTTAGGAGTATTTTTAATCAAATGATGTTGCTAGTGATGCCTATTGATGTTGTAACGTCTTTTTTTTAAAGTTGGCACAAAACAAAAAAAATATTTGTAATTCCATGTAAAAAGCAATCCCATGGTAGCATGGTTTATGCATAGCACTTTAAAGCTACGTGAATTTGTTACATTAATAAACCTACATTTATTTTAGGCACCTCCAAAAGCCGTTCCGAAGACTATTGAAAATCAGAGAGTTTATGATGAGACAACTGTAGATCCCAATGATGAAGAGGTAACTGCTTGATTTTTGCATATGCTATTAACGTTTTTTTTTCCAAAGAAGCAACTTAAAATGCATTGATAAAATTGATTATTCTTTATTCTCCTACGAAGGTGTTAATGGATTACTTTTCATGTGATGGGTTCACTAAGAGGTGATGTCCTTCTTTCATTGTCTCCATTAGATAATCGCCTTTTGCATTACTGCTATTGACAGCAGAACCTGACAACTTCTGTTACGCTAGACTCTTCTAAATGTAAAAACCACATCTTGCAATGATTAGTTACATGATAATCTTGTTGAATTGGGATTTTTCCTATTAAATTAAGTTTCATCAAAAGTCAGATTGAACAATTGTTCTTCAGTTATTTCATATATGATAGATTTACAAGACTTCTATTCTTGCAGGTTGCATTTGATGAAGCGACTGATGAATTTGCACCATACTTCAACAGACAGACAGTTCCTAAGATTCTTATTACAACGTCAGACAGACCTCGTGGGGTTTGTATGCTTTACTTGGGGTGTTCTGGGCAATTAATTGGTTATATGATACCAAGTTATAAATACTGTGATTGGTCAATGACATTTTTGGTATAGAAATCACTTTTAAAAACTTTTTGTAGGTTCTGTGAATAGACAAAGAAAACTTGATGGCCAGGAGATACTTTAATGTTAGATTCTTTTTGGTCACCAGTGCCATGCTTTTGGTTCTAGCACTGTTCAAGATGGGTGTAATTTAACTGGGAAGATTGAGTTTTTTGTCCTCAGGCTATGGTACGATGTATAAGCCCGTGATAACTCCATACAATCTTATATAGAAAAAACACCAAACTGAAAACTATAGCTTCCATGCATTTGTTTTTTCTGTTTAATTTAGTGATTCTCAAGAGCCTTTGTGTGTATGCAGTCTATTAGTTTCTTTAGCACTGATTGTTTCCTTCATTAAAAAAACCCTTGTGTTTATGTTTTTGTATGCAGATGATGATGATGTACATTAGGTTCATCTCCTAATTAGGGAGATTTCTGACACCTGTGAAAACTTGTAGAAGAAGTGGTTTTAAAAACTGGAAGCAGTACGCCTCAAGCAGTTTCTAGAGAAACTTGAGCATAACCCATAGGGGTTATGCTTTCATAATTCTCCTGTTTTACTGTGATTGAGAAGAAAATAGTACATTCCAAAAAAAATCAGTCCCTCATGTTCTGTAGTCTTGACTACAAATAAATTTTCCAGTGACTCAAAGAATTAACTTGGTAGCTTATCTTCAAATGGTTTATTATTTCTAATATCTCTATAAGCATCAAGGAGGGCAGTCAGAATAAAGAATCCTCCATCTCCCCTGGTATTTGAATTTGGTATTGTATTTACCGCATTGCAATTTAACTCATCTTTTACAGAGGACAGTGAGGTTCTGTGAACAGTTGTCTACGGTTATACCTAATTCGCATGTCTACTATCGAAGAGGATTAGCTTTGAAAAGGATTATTCCACAATGTATCGCGAGGGACTTCACAGATTTAATCGTCATTAATGAAGATCGTAAAATACCAAGTATCCTTTGTGTAAATACTAAGATATAGTAATAGCTCTAGGCCTGCTAGCAGAGAAACTTTCTAATTAGTGTGTGTCTAAGATCTACTTTTTTCTGGATTTTTCTTCACTGTGCAGTTTACAGGGTAACCACAGAGTTAAAAATCACTGTGTCAACTTGAGTATTTGATGGCTAATGGAACTTCAGATTATTAAAGTGCTTTTTGTTTTAGTTTGTAGTGTATGGATAAATGTTACTGTTGCAGTAAACTTAAGAGTTTTTTAATAATCTTCCTTTTTGATCAGGAAGTTTAGTTTTGCTGACTTGATAAATAATTACTGAGAAGGTAATAGAAGTTAACTCTGGTTAGCTTTTGAAACCGAACTTAATATCCATGTGTCAGAACCCTAGCTAACTAGTTAATGAATGTATTTTGGAGAACATAATGGAACCTTGTTAATGTGGCATAGATTATGGATATAGTACTATAGTGTCATGTTGCGTTTTACAGAATATGTTCCTCTGTTAACTACGTGTCAAATTTTACCAACTTTTTTTTCTTAACTCTATGAACAGACGGTCTTGTTTTAAGTCACTTGCCTGATGGTCCTACTGCTCATTTTAAAATGAGTAGCGTCCGCTTGCGTAAAGAAATAAAGGTGAGGCTCTAAAAAAATCAAATTATAGTCTGTGGTTTAAAAATAAATATGTTCAGTCTACTTGCACTGTCCAAATGGATTGCAATTTTTGCAAGGTTTAGCTGATCTTGAAAAATTGCTTTTTCATAAGCTAACAGGGGCCATATAGCAGTATATTCTACTTCTGTAGGCAGCTTACTTCAAATTTCATAGTTATGTGCTGAACTTAGCTGTCTGCCAAGTATTTTTATAGTCATATCAATAAATAACCAGGGAAAGCATATACCCAGTGTAATTACAAGATAGGATATATATAGAAGTAAGTGGTATGCAAGATTTCAATAGATGCAGTTCCTAGTCTTGAATAAAATGTAGTCTTTCTTATTCTTACAGCCTTGTCACCTCTTCTGAAGTAAGTATTGCTTACTTAATCCAAAATAACTTGCAGGAAAGTGTTTCTTTTTCCTCCTTTTTTGAATTAAGTACTTTTTAAATGTAATCTGTATTTATTAAGGACTGTCCCATATACTGCTAGTTGGTATGTACAGAGATTTTCAGCATCCTGTTATAGGTAGTCCGCTTACAGACTGATTCTTTGCTGTAGTGGGTGCAGTCAGGCAGGAGTGGAAGTTGGTTGCAGGAGAGAGGAAATACAAAATTATTTATTTGTGCTTTTTCTTTAAATTTTTAGTGTTAAACCAGAGATCCTTATGTTACCACCTTCTGCTTTACTTACATACAAACTGTTTCAAGAAACAATTAGGAATGTTATCAGGTCCTGCTTGTCTTCACCCTGTTTTATTTCAAACTTTTATTTGATAATGTATTAAAATAGTTTTGCATACGATGTATTATTTGCATTCTAATCTATTACTGTCTTTCCAGCGAAAAGGGAAGCAGCCTACAGAACATGTACCTGAAGTCATCTTGAATAATTTTACAACACGACTTGGCCATTCTGTTGGTCGCATGTTTGCTTCTCTCTTCCCACATGATCCTCAGTTCATCGGAAGACAAGTAGCGACATTTCACAACCAGCGAGACTACATCTTTTTCAGATTCCACAGGTGACATTTGGCCCAAAACTCTTGAATGGGAGATAATGTTCTTATAACTCAGCACCTAATAATGCTTCTTTCTCTCAAGGTATATCTTCAAGAGTGAAAAGAAAGTGGGAATTCAAGAACTTGGGCCACGTTTTACATTAAAGTTGAGGTCCCTTCAAAAAGGAACCTTTGATTCCAAATTTGGAGAATATGAATGGGTTCATAAGGTATGTCTAAGTAATACTAGGCCTGCTTGGGAGGTGATAATGAATCTGACATTAACCAGAAATCTCAGTCTAAAGAAAAACAGTATACGTATAAATGCACTTCTCAAAACAGATTTAACATTGAGAGGTATTTTTGACAAATACGCGAAGTAGAAGCATTCTGCTATATAGCTAGGATGGTAAGTGCCAATACGCCAAGACAACTTACTTGCAGTATGTAAGTTCTTTAAAATATACAAACAAAAGTGAAAAATGTTCCTCTGGTGTAAGTTATTACTGGAAGCCTAATAAGCTTGATTAAAGGCATTTTTTGTGCAAGGTCAGTGCAAGAATTTTTATCTAAAAACAATTAAGCAGTTTGTATGAACATTAATTCTTATATTCTGTTTGGTATTAATGCTGACTTTTCAAAATCTTCAAGTAAAGTGGAAGTATTATCTAAAGATAAATGGCTTTTCCAGTCATTTTACCTATCAACTGCAATTGCATGGTAAAAACTTAGAAGAAAGTGAGTATTCAAGCTTTATCAGAAGGAAAATTCCAGTATTTATGCTGTAGTCCATGATATGTATAATCTTTGTTTTAAAGACACTGAGTCTACTGTGTGTAAAGACTCCTCTAAGCAACTGATCTCCAATTTCTCTCCCTTACTAGTCCTGAAAGGCTGAGTATAGAGACTCACCTACTCTGTGATGCATTTCACTGCCTACACTAGTCTAAATTGGAGTGGTCATCTTTGTATATCATTGCTTGAATTTGTTGAGTAATATTTTTTCTTTTAAATTTCAGCGTCGAGAAATGGACACAAGTAGAAGAAAATTTCACTTATAACAGACAGCTACCTGCCAGTTGTTGATGACCAGAAATGTGTCTTTGAACTATGGATAATCTCAAACTCAAAACTAGTAATGATAATGAACAGTATCTGGCTACAGAAAGACAAACTGTAAACATTAAAACTTTCTACAGGACCAGTTCAAGTAGGACAGCATATTTTTTTCCTCCTATGGTTGCAACTAAATCAGACGTGACAAAAAGACTGCCTCTTTTTCCAATTTAGCAGGAAGATCTATGGTAATCAGTAGCCTGTAATTTTGCTATCACTGAAACTTTGTCATGACTGCTGCTGTGCTGTGGAATTAAATTATACTTTACTGTGCTGAAGACATAGTATTTTGTTAAAAAAATATTATCAGAATAAACTATTTTTCACTTACACAGTTTTTTTTTTTTCCCATTAAGCAGCTAAACTGAGCTGTTGCACATCTTACTAAGGTAAGAGAGAAATATTTTGAGATGCTAACTTACAGTATGCTGTTCTTTTACAGTGCAGTGTTAGTTCTCAAAAAATGGTCTCCTGCATAGAGAACATTGAGAAAGATGTATGCAATGTGGGAAGTCTTAACAGTATTTAATTCTTTAACATCTTGCATAAAATAACTACATTGCTTAAATGGGGGGGGAGTGAGGGGCTTGACTATTATGTGTATCACTCTTCTAAATACTGTGATACTTAAAGAAATGCATACTCAGAACAATCCATCTAAGAAATTCTGATGGGAAAGAATTCATAAAGCCAGCGTTGAGCAGGTGAGATTTCCGAACAGGGTTTTTCTCAGTAAAATTTTAATGTTTTTTTTCAGCCTTGATAGCTATATTTGAGTTCACTACCTGCAGAGTGAACTTACTGTTCTGCCTTAAGTTTGCACATTCACAGGCAGCTTAAAAGCTCCGTTTTCTTTGAATTATTTTCTTTCCAATATGTAGCTATAGCAAGTGCTTTTTAGTATTAACCTAAAGAGCCTAAAGTAAGCTATCTGCTCAATAGAATTACTCTTTAAAGAAAATCATGGTTTTATTACTCTTCGCCTTTATTTAATGTGTATGCTGTATAGCTAATTATTTTTTTCCTGTTCTATTTCTATCATGCTTCTAAGAAGCCTCATTGTTTTATAAGAGTATCAACCCAAGACAAACTTGCAGCAGCACAGAATATTTAGACTGACATGCTCTCTAGCTGCTGCACAGTGATGTAGTAACTGGTGAGGTATCAATTTATCTAGAAGTGAATCAATTTCTTACAGTAATGGCAATGCCAAACACTTTCATTTTTTGTCAAAACATTTTTATTTTTTGCTTGGTATATAAAACTGATTCCCACATGAAACAGAAATATTGTAACTAGCATACAGTTCATTCGGAGAGGTAGATGGTAAGAGGTTTGATAACAGTAGCAATTTTACAGTTAGATTTGGCACATTAAAGCTAAGCTTTTGTATGGACTTCAAACCAGGCCACTCCTTGAGGCACTGCCCCTACAGACATCAGCAGCTAGGTAAAGATGCTAAAAGATCTGAAAAACAAAACCAAAATGAGGTAATTAGAGATGTATGAAGCCTAAATGAAGCAAATGTCTAAGAACATGGACCTTTAAAGTATGTCATAAGCAGCTAGGTAGAAAAAAAAATCTAAAGCTATTTCACAGAACTTTAAATTACAAAATAAGCTTTTAAAAAAATAAAGCTAGCCCCAGGGGTACAAGAAGATAAAGCTATTACAAAGGAACTGAACTGTAGTGTCTCCTGGAAGCTAAATCTTCAGTAAGGCAAAATAAGTTGTTCCCTGTCACTTGATGCCTACAGAAATATTGAGCATCTACTTCACCATTGAAAAGCAGGGGGAGTCTGGGTAACTAACAAATTACACTTCCTCTTGGTTCATCTTGTAAACACAAGGATTACAACTAAGAAATTACCTACTTTGAGGAAGTGCTTAAACAGTGAAGGAATAAAAATTTCCATGTAGGTAGCGTAACTAAAATTGCTGTTCTAATAACTTTTGGCTCGTAACATCAGCAGAAACAATTGTTCCATTGCAGTATCTGAAAACAAGGGCTATAATTAAGAAAAAAATATTAAATCTGTTCTGCCCATTGTGTGCACGTGAAAACGAAGTTATTTCCTGACATCCATACTAGGTGGCAAAACTCAGGGGGAACGGTATGTGGCACTGATTCAACCCTAGCTTATTTGGCTTTTTATAGGACAGCAGTCCATAATGCTTGTAATGATTTTGTCTTTCTTGAATTACTGCTTAAAGCTGAAGCGACAATACTGGAGGCACAACTCAGTCCTGGAATACTATCTAAGAACAGTTTATAAAATGCATGATAGAAACAACTTCAAAAGCTACATGAACTCTAGAACACATTTCAGTGACACTGCTGTAAATCATTCAAGAAAATGGAAGGAATGTGTAATGAATTTTTTTTTAAATCATTAAGTATAAACCTCAATATTGTTATTACTCTGCTAGCTTTACTAGCATGAGCCACCTTGTTTGTACACAGACTATTTGGAAGCTTTTTATAGTCTGCTTGAGAGTAGTGAATAGCTGCCAAACAAGAAAGAAAGACTAACAACTTAATCAGATTGTGATCGCCTTTCTTTGAAGCTGCCTACATAACACAGCCTAACAAACTACAGTTCTTTGGGTGATGTAGGTCCACAGCAAAAACACAATTCTTAAACCTTACGATTCATAATCCTTAGAAATCTCATGAGCTGTGGTCAACTGCGTATCAAGTGATCTGAAAATAACATTTACTGTCACACCCTGGTAGATGGAAGTTGCAATAGGAAAGAGGGACATGATGATTTCCATGCATTTCCTATGTGTAACATATCAAATCATTGTGACTCAGAGTCTCAGTAAGACATATGTGGAGCAAAATCTAATCTCTATAAACTTTAGTCTAAAATCTAATCAGATTTTTCAAACAATGACAGAGTAGTCATTTTCACAATGATAGCAGCAATGTTAGTGAACCTGTAAAAGTTTAGGAATGAAAATCCAAATGTGTATTCAACCGTTTCTAGTTATTTGAACTGCTGTTCTTGTTTTATTCACGTATGAGTCATTTGAGAAGCATATGGGCAGTGATCAAGTTTTTGGACCCAATGCTTCTTGGTTTAGATGTCAGGGCACGTTCTAAAGGGGATAGGGACCCTTTGAGACAATCACTAACCCATCTTTGAAAGAGCTGTCTGAGAGTTTAAAAACTAAGTCCTAAGAACTAAAGTCTGCTTTACCTACTACAATCAGCGTTCACCACATACTTCTTCAGGAAAGTAATCCCATGTGAGAAAAAGGAAATAACACCCTTAACACAGAAGGAAGTTGCAGCAGAACTACTTTACAGTCAGGTCAGACCATATAGCAGCTCTATAGTAGCTAGCCCCCACTCCTGCTGCAGCAACAGAAACTGGTCGAAGCTCTGCAACACTTAAGTACTACTCTCAATACCTGTGAACAGCATATGTCTAGTATAGAGCTACCTCCCACAATATGGGAAGAGAGACCCAAAATTGGGATCTAGACCAATACCAGCTGCAGAAGTCAGATGACTTCTGAATACTTTTAACAAAGGCAGTCTCTCTTAAAGCCAGCTATTTTTAATGACAGAACAAAGTTTATTGCTCATAATTCAAGAACTTACCACTGAAAGATACTAAAGTAGTCCACATAATTACAAAAATGAACAAACTTTCTGGGGTCTGAATGGATTTGTACTTGATGACACTCCTGTCAGTAGGGGATCATGTTGTGCATTCTGCAGGCAGAACTGCTTCAAGTCCGCTGCGGCCTGAGAAACCTAGTCATAATAAAAACAGGCATTAATTAGGATTCACTGAACATCCTCTTTACAGAGGATGTAACTGCATCAAAAATACAGTGCTGTTAAATGATTTGGCAATACCGCTTAAGTAGGTGTTTTACAATAACTTCACTGTACTTTTTTGGTTTGTCAGCCAAAAAGTTTTGTGCTATTATAGAAATAATTTGGAAAACTGATGTTATGCCTAAGTGTGAAGCCTGAAAGATGAGCTGTCTTTAAGATTGCTTTGTTAAATACACAAAGACCCTTATTCTAGTTTAAGTTGTTTTTAAATGGGGCCTGTAGTTTAAGACCCTCTACTGAATAAGCTGGCATTTTATCTTCCCTTGGAAGGCTATCCTCAGGCTGAGATAGCATACGTGTTTTATTTTTCATAGGCTGCACCTAACAACAGAAAAGCGCAAAAACTTCCTTGCTTTTCTTTGCTGTAACTCCGAACTTGGAAGAAGCAATTACAAACTCTCAACAGCAGCATCCCCGCTGCTACCCTGTGCGTGCGGTTTGCTCAGAGCTCCTCTGGCTCGGCACGGCCCGGTGGCGCCCCGAGGACGCCCAAGGCGCCGTACTCCGTTCGCCTGGCAGCGAAGCCTCCATTTCCCAGCCCAGCCGAGGCAACCTGTTGCAAACCCCAGCGGAGCAGCCCGCCCGGCCAGCGCGGTGCTGGGAGCAGCCCCTCCCCAGCGGCAGGCCATGAAAGGGGCAGCGAGGCCCCTCCGCGGCACTCGGGGGGCCAAGGGCAGCTGTAGGAAGCCACAGGGCCCGGCCCGAGCCCCGGGGCAGCGGAGCCCCCGGGCCGAAGCTCGGCCGCCGCCCAGGAGGGCCGGAGGGGAGCGGGCGGCCCCGGCCCCCGCCCTGCCCCGGGGACTGCGCCGCCGGCCCGGCCGCCCCCTCGGAGCGCGGCGGGGCGCAGTCCCCGGGCGGTAATGGCGGCGCGGCCCCGCGCCTCACCTTGACGCGCGTGACGCTGGCCTCCAGGCGCAGCTGCTGCACCACCTTCTTCATGGCCGCCACGTTGGAGGAGCCCGACATGGTGGCAGCGGCGGCGGCACACCCAGCACCAACTTTCCGGCGCGTCCCAAACTCCTGCCCCGCAGCGCCTGCGCAACCGGGGCCGCCGGCAGCCGCGGGGGGCGCTGCGGGGCCGCCGGCAGCCGCGGGGCGGGGAGCGAGAAGCAGCGGGGGCAGCTCGCAGGGTGCCGGGGGCCGGCTCGGGGCCCGCAGGGGAGCTGGGTGGCAGCCGCACCCCTTCGGGGACCACCGCCAGTCCGGCCTGTGCGGCTGGGGCGGCGTCGGTGGGGTGTCCGGGTGTCTGCGGAGAGACCCTGCGGTCCGGGAAGCAAACAAAATATACATACTTACCTATTTACGTGTACAGTGGATTCTATGAGAAAGTAATGTTCGTTCTAAGGTGGCAAGTCTTAGTGATAGTATCAAGCCAAATACTAGCTCGAAACTGATGTTTAGAACTAACAAATAATGTTGTTAGCTTTACTTTTGTGAATTTGTTTGGCTCTTGACTACAGTCTAGGAGGAGCTCAATATTCTCTGTAGAGAGCACCCAGGAGTGACCACCAAGCCTGGAATGGCACAGGTGGCACATAGCGGTACAAAGTGCGATGTCTTGCCTATGTGTACGGAATACAGGGAGGAACTTGGGCTGTAACCTGCCTCATCTTTGCTTGGGAGTAACGGAGGAGAAGTGATGGGAAGGTCTAGTCAGGCCATTGCTGAGAGCTCATTGCTCCCATAGCAGTGGTAGGGCAGAGCACAGGTAGTTTATGGAAGGGTTTCTCTGATGCGGTTGCCTGCCACCACCAAGTTTCCATGGCGTGCTGTGTTTGGGTAGTGCAATGTGGAATGTGCCATGCATGGGTGTCCTGACGTCAGCTCATAACAACTGTCCCTTTGTCAAAGATAAGTCCAGACCCTGCAAGAATCCCATTTTGGGTCTTCAGGTTCACAGAAAAAAACATGCAGAAAGTTATATACAGCTGAAATACTTCTATGGAAAGACAGAAGTGTTAAGAGGAAGTACTCCAGGGCAGCTCTGTTGGAGCTGCAAGGCAGTGATTTAGCAAGTCACCAAGTTACTTAGGTGACACTGCTTGTGTAGAAAGGTGTGGCAGAGTCTGTTTGTCTACAGCGAGCTGGGAGACAGCACAGTGACAGCTCTGAGACTTCCATAAATGGAAAGAAGATAATAAAGGAAATTAATAGAGTAACTTCTTCAGTGACAGATTGTCATGAAACTCATTCTCAAATAATGTTTCAATCAAAAAGAATATTAGAAAGCCCATCTGGCACTCACTGTGATCACGTACAGCGACCAGTATGTCATTCAGTCAAATGAGACCTCAGACATCCCAGGTGAGAGTTTATATACTTTTGCATAGCAATTTTTTTATATTTCTTAAATAAAAATTAAAAAAAAAAACATTAAAGTAACTGCCACTGTACTGCATCTAGGAGATCTGAGAGGAAGAATGTACATTTAGCCTAGTATGTATAAAAATTCTGCTTTTCTAGTTTATATTTAGTATCTAAACAATTGAAGAAATACTTAATACAGCTTTATTTGCATGGCTTCCAGTTACTGGCAGTGCTTTTCAGAAGTGTGTATCATCCTTGTCAATACCATTTGATATCCACTAACAATAACAAGACCTCGGCATGATGAGTCCCACAGTGACCACTGGTTCGAACACAGTCTTAGTAAACTATTCAGAGCAGGCTTAGCTTTTCTTGTTGTAGATGTTTCCAAGTGCACTTCTGTGCTCCGAGGTCATTCATATTATTGACTGTCAGAAATACTTTGATATTATTTTCTTGCTTGTGCTTTCTGCTATGTTTGCATCAAGCTTTTATGGCTTAGCAGTTCTTAGGAGGTGAAACAAGGTAGGCTTTTAGCTGAAGTATTCTTGTATGCATGACATATGCTCCAGAGGAATTACTGTTTTTCCTTAAGCTATATCTGTTGCTAACGCACTGACATACAGCAGGGAGCACAGGCTCTCTTTTTGCTCATTTCAATTGTTGAGCTTGTTCTGATGTGATTTATTTCTATGCTGTCAGCTGGCATTCAATCACAAATTGTTATGATAATCTGTTCTTTATTTAGCTGGTGGAGCTCCATGTTTTTTATGTCCCAGAGGAAGTGTGGAACTTCAAGCTGAATACAGTTCCTGTGGCTCTTACTAGAAAGTTCATCTCAGCTGGATTTATAAGGTGAGTATAGTCTTAGGCCCAAATGTGATAACACCTATAAAATACTTACCTGGTAGCACCTTAATATTGTCCTTCAGTCATTTAGTCTAGCTGTTGCATAATTATATCTGTCAGAAAATATTCTTCTCTAATCATCTCCGGAGGGTAAGTGGTGCCCATGTCTCTTTGGGCTGTATCAGGCCAGTGCCGCCCTTGATCTGAACCACTGTAACGCACTTCCAGAGCACTGCTAGTATTGCTGCAGAACGATTCATGTTGTAAAATCACAGTCATATTTTTTCTGTTTCCTTGAGCCTGATTATGAAAATCTTCAATTCTTTTCCACAGTGGGCCAACTTTGAGATAGAATGGCTCAATGAAAATGGGAAAGCCTGTCACTGAGCCATAAATCTAAAACAGAAACATTATGTCCATGCAATTGCCAGCATATCTTCTTTCTTCTTCTACAATATTTCTGAAAGGTTGTCTACAACACATGCTATGTGGGCTCTCAGGTAGCTGTCAGCACTTTGTGGAAGACTACCCAAAGGGCCAAACTTGGCACAGAGAGCTGCAGTTTTTATCTTTGATAACTTTAGAAGTTTGGTTCATACACCTAGATGCTTGACTCACAAAACCTGTGTGGATTTGGTAAGGTAAGAATTTACAGAAAAAAAAAAAAGTAAAGATGTGTGTTGAAACTGGGGTTTTATATGCATCTCATTTGCTTCTGTGCAAAACTTGTCAGCTTAAACTGTAGGTTTTAACTCACTTAAATTTATGCTTGTATTGTCCCCATAAGACAATATATCATGTAGCTGAAAAAATTGACAGCAGCTGGATATAAGCATTTATGGAAGAATGTATTCGTTCTTGCAGCTTTTTTTTGTTGTTTTTGAAAGACTGCACAAAACCAGATAAAGTAAGTTCATGCATCTATTCTGTTTGCTGTACTTGTCACCAGCAGAGGTGCAAAATACGTAGCTGGATGGTAACTTTAAATTGTTTCATATTACTGGACATCAGTCACTGCCTGTTGCTCTCAGGTGTAAGTTTATTTTGCTAAGGCTCAGTTCTGAGACATCAACATAAATTAGGATTCTTACCAATTGCAATGGGTTTAGAGCTCAAGAAAGACATGCATCTGTTAGAGTGCATCCAGAGAAGGGACATAGAAATGATCAGCGGGCTCAGGCACCTCTCCTGTGAAGACAGGTGGAGATAGTTGAGGTTGTTCAGCCTGGAAAGGAGAAGGCTCTGGGGAGACCTTATTACAGCCTTTCAGTACTTAACGGGGTCTTTTAAGATCAGGAAAGGCTTTTTACCAGAGCCTGGATTGATAGGACAAGGGGTAATGGTTTTAAACTTAAAGAGGGCAGATTTAAATAGATACTAGGAAGAAATTCTTCACAGTGAAGATGGTGAGGGACTGAAACAGGTTGCCCAAAGAAATTGTGGGCGGTCAATCTGGTAAGGACTTCGGGCAACGTGATCTAGTGAAAGGTGTCCCTGCCCATGTCAGAGGAGTTGCACTATATAATTTTTAATGGTCCCTTCCAACCCAAACCATTCTGTGATTCTATTATTCCATGCCTGGATAGGTAATTTTTGCTTGCTAATGAGTGTTAGGTAATTAATTATTCTGTGGGTGCTATGCAGTGTTGCAGCGCATTAACATTAACTAACACTGGGCCAGTGTATCACTGTCTTTAAAAACAAAATACATTTTAAGAATCTTCTCTTATTTTAACCTGAGTGAACAGCAGCCTTGCTGCTACTAACCGTGTCTGGATGTTGTTGATAGCACCATTCAGCCAGCTTGGCAGTCCTAGTACTCTGTGAGTCAGCTGAACAAAGGATTCCTCGATGTAAATACAGGCCACTTCCATTAATCATGAAATTAGAGGAAAATACTAAGTACGTAATCATCTGCAGCCCTGGGTTCTTGTTCCCATGAACTTGATTTCTCAGCCTCTTGTGATCTTTTATTTACTCCTCATTCCTCACCACAGAACCCATACTTTTGTTACTTCTAGATGATATTGCTGCAATGAACTCTAGTTTGCATTACTTTTAAAGGAACACCCTGAAGCGAATGACTGGATGTGACTAGTCTTCTGTTGGCCCGTGGCAACAACCAAGGAATATGTTATTATATGTTCCTAGCAGCTGCTCTAGCAAACAATTTTCAGATAAATTTCTGTTGTGCATTTCAGGTTCTGTGTACCTAAATGATTTTCTCCCATGATACATCCTCATAGTTACATAGATGTTTTCCCTGCTGCTCATATGTACCTTAGATTCAAATTTCTTTGCTGGTTTGGAAGGGTGTGAAGGATGTGCAGTTTTAGAATTGCTTCTGAAAAAGCTTGCATTTATTGGGTTTCAGAAAACAGTTCAAGGGACTTCTCTGTGCCTTCTCTGTGGCATAAGCTTGAAAAAATTATGGTGAATGAGATATAGTTGAATTACAGATCATCTCTCTTATCAGATAAGACCCTGGAAGGATGTATATTGAATTATGTATCCATCTTTCACGTATTTCTTTATACACTTGAAATAAATGGATGACATTAGGACTAACATCTGTAGCAAGTGTGGGCAAAAAGCATATGGCAAAGAAATAAACAGAAGCTAAATGCTCAGGGACCAAGCAGCGAGGCCTAGACGTGTCGACTCCGCACACTGCTTGGCTTCGGTATCTCTCTGTCCCATGCCTTTCCCCAAGGCAGAATTACGACCTTAGGGAGGAGGGTCCTCTAAGTCCCAAGTGTGTGAAATAATGCAAGGAAAGCATTATAGCCCACTGAAATACAGTTTTTATCAGAAAAAAATGGGAGTATTTCACGTATCTGGGGTATGAAATGAAGGCATATGAGGCCATGTGAGTGTGCAAACCCTTTTAGGTTAATGGTGAAGACCTGCCCAAGTTGAAGGGACAGCATGACCTTGTCCATACTAGTTACCGAGAATGGCATGTGCTATACCCCAAGCTATGTCTGTGCATTGTTTGAAGAGTGATAGCTGGCCTGGGCCAAAACCCTGTGAGGTAGTGTACTTACACTTAAGCAGCGTGGGTGATTAACAGTCTCAGGCCTGAGTTTGTTCCCTGGTTTATTTTAAATGACAGCATAGGAGCAATCAGAACAGCTTATGTTGAGATACAGAGCTTTTGTGTGACTCTTGCACATTCGATTTTATTCTGCGGAGATGCTTTAGTCTATGATGATTTTTATACTGAGCTTATGACTTTGATATTTGCATGCTTTCCAGAAGCAGATTAAACGATGTCATTCATGTTTGTGTCAGCTCTCTCATCCCCAAACTATGGTAAAAATGTTCACACTACAGTATTTGGTTTTGATTTAAAACACATTTGCATGTACGCATGCACACACCCTGCTTACAAATTTGTGTTCGAGAAAACAAAACCAAAGGAATGTGCTTGGCAGTTAAAAGTAGAGCGTGATGAAGTCTCCTTACTGCTTGAAGAAGTATGTTCTACAGTCCTGGCCTGGCTCTCTGAAACTCTGTCACCTAGATGGAAATGCATGACTGTAGTTTCCAACGTAATTGTACATGAATTATGTCATTCATCTGCAGATGAGCAAGAGTCTTTTTCAAATTTCAGGTACTTTCATATTCTCCCTTTGTTTGGGATTCCTAAAACATAAATATTGCTGCCTAATGTCACGGCAGCCTTTGTAATGCGGTCTGCCATAGTGTGATACAATGTTCTGACTCTACCACACCAAAAATCTCTGACCTATCTGTAATTGGGTTCCATTCCAGGAAATAGTTCATAGTTCCCTTTTTTGTTCATTCTTGCCATGCAAGCCAGCATTTATATAGCATAATCTTCCCCCTCTTACTAACTAGCCAACGTTATTTGATCTTGCAGATGTATTAATGAATAACAACATTCTAGGGTGTCTCCTCACATCACATTAAGAGCGCTACGAGAGAAGCTTGGAGAATACCTGGGTGGAGTTGCAGTTGCAGATAAATTCAAATTTCTAAAATGCATTGGGAAAAAACTAGCAGTGGTAAGTTGATTTTTTTATTATTCTTTAGTGCTCTTCTGCTTTATAATACAAACTACAGATCTAGTCCTTGTGGATTTAAAAATATCACAAGAAAATAGAGATGAATTTAGGCGCACACTTAGTATTTGTTTTGAATCATGTTGGAGAAGGAGCTCTTGTCAGAACATCTACTTCCCCAAATACAAATGCACGGCTGGATAGGTATATTAGAAATGTCCTTTAAAGCATCAGGTGTAATTAGTTGCCATTCAGTGGAAAGATGCAAGCTTTGATAGGACAGTAAATTAAATATGACAATTCTAGTTGCATTAAAAAAATCCCCTGAGGTCATTATTGTCAGGACATGATTAGGAGTATGGCACTTGAAGAATTTGCATTGGGAGCTGAGTAAGCCAGAATTCCTGTAAATGGTCCTGCTGTGACATGTCCAATAGCCTTTAAAGATCAGTCTCTGAATGAAAGCTTCTCTGATGTACATTTCTGTTCCATGAATCAGTCCAGTAATAGAGCCTGAGGAGGTTTATGTAATCAAAAAACTGCATCTCTGAATCATAACTGTTCCTTGGTCTGATTCTCTATATACTTAACTATCTTACACACTATAAAGATTAAATAAATCTGAAAATCAGACTGATTGAAAGTGCATTTGTGTAATAGACAAAGATTTAAGTGATATACATAAGACTTTTTTCTCCTGTTTTTCATGGATTTCCAAATACAAGGCAGAAAATGGTGTTGTTTTTTATTTCATTTGTAGACAATATCACTAAAATTACCTGTGCAGAAAACTAGGAAAAGCAGGTAGAGAAACATAGACAGGAATGTAAAGACTGTGATGCAATCTAAATCTGACAAGATATGCAAGTCTCCCAAAAAAAAAAAAGATGTTTTTAACTGGATGATAGTGAGATGGTAGATTTTCTTCCCCACTGATAGTTCTGAGGTAAATGGATAAAATTTCCAGCTCCCTTGAGAATAGCAGGAATAAAGTATTTTGTGTTTAATAGTAGATGAAATACATTAGTAGATACAAGTGAAGATTTTTAGAAACAAAGATTTAATTTTAATTGGGAGATTTAGTGTTGCTTGATGTGTATTTTGTGATAAAGGGTAATGTAAGCAAGCAAATAACTCGTTTATTTGTTGTTTAGGGTCATGGTAACCTAATTGAATTAAATCTCCATGACCAAATATTTGTTGATTTTTTTTTATTTTTTTTTTCTCAGTGTCCTGTTTCACAACATTGACAATGTAAACAGTACTAAGAGCTGTAGCCTGCTTGCAAGTGAGGGTCTTTAAATGAAAAACAAACCAAAACCAAGTTCATTTGCTCTTCCTTTTCTTTCACATAGCCCATGTCTCTAAGTGTGAATCAATGTCATTGTGTGGCCATTATTGAGAGCAGCTTTTGGCCCCATGTTTACTCCAATTTCATTACTTAAATGTAAACTCAGATTATTATTATTTTCTACTGGAACACATCTTTCAAATATACATTGATTATCGTAGATTTTGTATTTTAGGATGACTGTTGAAATCTGAAAGTGTATATCACAAAAAGAATAGCAAGACAGTAAGTACTAGATGACGTAGGACAGTCATAGATTTTTTTTCTCTATATACATCAAATATTTTGTGATGTTTTGTTAGATTAATAGAGAAAATTATGTTAGACTCATCATCTCTATTCAGATTTGACTTGAAGCAACTTCTGGCAAAGGCAGTGTAAGATTTTGTTCTGCTGTGATTGTTAGATCAGGTCCTTTGAACCATAGGAGAAAGTGCAAAGGATAAAGAAGTGTATTCAGTACATCCATATACTTTTGTGTGTCTGATTTAAATTTTGAAAAATAGACAAAGTAGTTTCAGTGCTATGTTGGAAAATAGAACAGCATTCTACGTTCCTTCTTCCCCATCAAGCTATTACAGAAGAAAAATGTATGTAAAGATGATGATAGAATACATAAATTAAGTGATAACATTGTTGTTAAGAAAGTATTTTACTGTTTACATTTCTGTTCTTTATCTTCTAAGGTAAAAGCAAAGCAAGAAACAGAACTGGAACTGAAGTCATTTGCTCCCCCTTATGTATGTATTTTATGGCTTTTAAGCTATCATTTTCAGAAGCTTTTCATGTTGGTAGTTTCTTCTTTTGTGTCTGGTTAATATACTGCATATTTTAGGCACTGTATCCTGAATTATATTTATTACCTGGAGTGGAATACTTTGAAGATGTTTATCCGTTATCATCATCAACTAAACAAAGATGCCACTTTAATGCGGAAGCTAATAGGTATGGTCATGGATCGAGACTACCCAATCTTCCCCAGCAAAGTGAAAAAAGCAGACCATTTTTAGAAAGCATACAGAGCAGTCATCAGCTAGAAAATAAGGAACTGCACAGTCCTGCAGAATGGACTGAGAAAGAATCTGTTCCAGTTTTGAACACAAATCATGAGCAAGACTACAACAGGACTGCATTAAAACAGACACAGTTCAGAGTGAAAGGTAAGTTTAACAAAGATCGCAAAGAAGAGTGATGGAGTAAAATAACTATTACGGTTAATATTTACAATAAAATAATATATTTTTTTCTCAAATCAATTATTATGCAGATCAAAATGGATCCAGTGGATCTCTCTTCACACCAAGTCATTCAAATTCTACAGATCGAGGGTCTGGAAAGAGCTATATGCTGTTACAGAAATCCCAGCAAAACCACCATAGCGAAGATCAAGAAGAGCATGATACTCCGAAGAGGAATGACAAAGCCAAGGGAAATGCTCTTACTCTTCACATAAACCACAGTGATGAACAACACCAGACTAACCAACCACACCAAAATCGCATGAAATTCCAAAAAGGTACACTGTTCATTGTCGTCTTGGTGCTAAGCCAAGATTTTTAGAAAGTTGGCAGAGTAAAGCTAAGTTTAAAAAAAATCTGTAGTTGCAACGTAAGTTGGAATATTGCTGTTAGAACAGTATTCTAATTTTTAAAATAATATCTTTCAAAGAACCATAGTTTTTACTTTGGATGAGTCATTCATTATAATTATGTACTGTTGTAGGGAAGCACTTTAATATAGTCAATGCCTTTGTCTGATCTTATTTATATGGAAGCAAATTACTGAGCAGCTGCTGTAAAGATTGGAAGATAAGGATCCCATAATTCAACATCAATTTTAAATGAAAAAAAAAAAAGATCAGGAAATTGGGGAATGCAATTTATTCACTTCAACTTCCATGGTTATCTTATGCATACCTACATTACTAATGAAAAGAAAGTGCTTCCTCCCCTCCTTCCTATATACTACTGATTTATTTATGTACTATTGAACAGTAGCATTCCTAAAACTGAGAGGTAAGAGAATTCTTTGAACAGATTACAGTGAAACTGTTAGAAAAGAATGGAGAGGTTTAAAGAACACACAAACTAGCTAATAATTCTGTGCCAAAATAGAAAATGTAGTTTGAAAGACATCTGTTAACTACTACTTCCTTTAAAATGAATTATCTTAGGGATACTGGGGGCCAAGTCCTGAACAGTTCTCTAGTGTTCTTAATATTCCTAAATTTCTAGTAATTACAAATAAAGAAATGACTGAAGCATTTAAATTGGATTGACCACTGTTAAATTAGCATCAAAATGATAACATAAAATGTTTTTCAGGAAATACTTTTGAAAGACAAATCTTAATATTTGAGTATAATTTTACATTCATTATAAAGGGGATGACCCTTGTTCTACTGCAAATTTCTAATGAGGAATTATTAAATGAGGCAATACTCATTTTTTCATACATATGGGCACCTTATTGATTTTCTGGATATCCAGTACTTTGAGTAAAAAAACAAAAGTTGTGGACTCGAATGAGGGTGGAAAGGCCTTGCAGAGGGATCTGGATAGGTTGGAGAACTGAGCGATCACCAACCGCATGAAGTTCAATAAGAGCAAGTGCCAGGTCCTGCACCTGGGACGGGGAAACCCTGGCTGCACGTACAGACTGGGCGATGAGATGCTGGAGAGCAGCCTAGAAGAGAGGGATCTGGGGGTCGTGGTAGACAGCAAGTTGAATATGAGCCAGCAGTGTGCCCTGGCAGCCAGGAGGGCCAACCGTGTCCTGGGGTGCATCAAGCACGGCATCGCTAGTAGGTCGAGGGAGGTGATTGTCCCGCTCTACTCTGCGCTGGTGTGGCCTCACCTCGAGCACTGTGTGCAGTTCTGGGCACCACAGTATAAAAAATACATGAAACTGTTGGAGAGTGTCCAGAGGAGGGCTACGAAGATGGTGAAAGGCCTGGAGGGGAAGACGTACGAGGAACGGCTGAGGGCACTGGGCCTGTTCAGCCTGGAGAAGAGGAGGCTGAGGGGAGACCTCATCGCAGTCTACAACTTCCTCATAAGGGGGTGTCAAGAGGCAGGAGACCTTTTCTCCATTAACACCAGCGACAGGACCCGCGGGAATGGGGTTAAGCTGAGGCAGGGGAAGTTTAGGCTTGACATCAGGGGGGGGTTCTTCACAGAGAGGGTGGTTGCACACTGGAACAGGCTCCCCAGGGAAGTGGTCACTGCACCGAGCCTGTCTGAATTTAAGAAGAGATTGGACTGTGCACTTAGTCACATGGTCTGAACTTTTGGGTAGACCTGTGCGGTGTCAAGAGTTGGACTTGATGATCCTTAAGGGTCCCTTCCAACTCAGGATATTCTATGATTCTATATTGTGATCTTAGATGTGTCTGAAGAGTGTACTAGAAAAGCCTTCACAGATGACTTTTCCGTAATTTCAGTTTCCATTAATAATCTGTCAAAACTAGCTTTGTCCCTCTGTCATCATGTTAACTGAAGCCTGAGACCACATATATGTATATCTAATATAATATATATAATACATATATGCATATATATGGGCATATTTATACAATTGAGAAGTTTTCCAGAACTTTATTTTGAATGATGAAGGATGTCGAATTTTGTAATTTAAAGTACAGGCAAATTCTGTCATCAGTTTTCTTTTGAAACGCTTAGTCTATATAATTTAAAGGAGATAACATTCAAATGCAAAACATTTTGCTGTCACTTTCTTTGCTGGCTCCAGTTTGTAGGAGATCTTCAGGGTCTCAAAGGCGGAAAATGTTAGAGAATTATTTTAGAAAAGGAGAAATAATTAAATGATCTCATTACCTGTTGTCATGTTTCCTCTACTTGTTACCAGAATTAGTTAGATACAAATTCTTGAAACAGAAGTAGATTTTTTCCCCCTTATTTCTTTCCTCTGTTATTCAGAAAACCTTTCATTACCCCAGATGTAATCCTATTTATTGTATCGACTCACTGAATTTCTAATACAGGCTGGAAAGTTCAGGTGTTGACAGTCAAAAAAAGTGTAAATCTTGTGAGTGTAATCTGTGTATTTTGATCATCATTATCCTGTCACAGAACTAAACACCAAACTCCTAGTTACAAACATGGAAAATAATGACCACAAAAAAGATACCAAACTAAAAAGAGACAGAACACGGGATTCTGGAAATCTTGAAATATTAGAAGACCAAACCACAGAATATATACACAGAAACCAAAGGTTAGTAAATGGTAATTCTGATAAAAGAATGGATAATAATAATAACAAAAAACTTATTTTACATACTTCAAATAAATGAAAGAAAATGGAGAAGTAAAACAGTATAATTGCATGAATTTTCACTTGCTTCTTTGAATTTCTCTTTAGTTTGCTGCAGTACAGAACTAGCAAGTCTGTAACTGGTCCTGGTGAAAAACTGGATAATCAGGTATGTTTTTCAGGGTAGCATATTCTCTTTAATGTGGAGCAATAAATACAGTCCTCCACCTAGAAACTGACTAATTTTGTAAGACAGGTAACTCATTAGAAATACAAAACATGCAATGTAGATTTTAGAGTAATTGAGCAAAGTTAATTTATGCAATGCTGCTTTGGAGATTTGCTAATGATAAATCAGCTGTATATCTACACAATGATAAATCAGAAGTTATACCTCTGGTTATCATTTAATAGGAACTATGTATGTTGTATCTATTTCAGTCGTATTAACATTAGCCTTTTTAAATTTATTTTTTACAAGTTCTTGACAGCAGCATTGTATTGGCTGTATCAGTGATGTTTTTATAATTTCGTATTTCCTATGGGATAAATCTTAGTCTTATATGGGATAAATCCTAATCTCAAGCAAAACTTCCGAGAAAAAAAAAATAAAATTATTTAAAACATACATACGGTATAGTCATAGTATCTGAATAAGAACATGGTTAGGAAGACAGAGCACCCACATGCAGTCATACAGGATAACCACTGTCACTACTGTCATCTGTGAGCTATTATAAACTTTGGTTTAGAAATGAGCAATCCAGATTTTGTTAACCAATGAGCCTGACAGCAGTTTTTAGGCCGGTCATTCTTGGTCTTACATGGGAGTGTCAGTAGTCTGTGGAGTTACAGACATGGACAAGAATATTTAGCAATAGTCTGTCTTTTGGTCCATGTATTGTCCTCTGCAATTTCAGTGTTCTGATGCTGTTTGCAGATGTCCATCTGTTTGGAAGTTTGTAATGAATAACAGAGATTATATTCAGAGTTCCAATACATCCTCCCCATTCACTCAGACCACTTTCAAAGCATGTTTAATGTGACTGTTCAGGATTATAAATTATGTACTTGTAGTTTTGTCTTTTGACCCTCTAGGTAGATGAGAACAAGCAAAACAATTCTACTTGTCCAAAAGAATATATTTCACCTCCTGGTCCACCTTTTCTGTCACTTTCTGTAAACCCAGCTCAGGTTCCTGCATTTCAGGCAGAAAGTAAGTATGTGCTTCCAAGAAATGCATGGGGAGTTAACATTTAATCAAGACTGAACAGTTGATGAAGACAGAAATACTTTATGAAAGAATTTGTACATATATTTATTCCCAGGATTGTTAAAAAAATTAATTTGTATTTGGAAAATTGCAGGCATCTAATGTTGCCTGAGTTGTTCATAGAGTATGGCAGAAGTTCCCATTGCTAGAAGATTGGTCTCATGGACTTGGGTGTGGAAGGAGATAAGGAGGGAATTTAGGGGGAAATACTGTTGGCTCACGTGAGAATGAAGCAAAGATGCTAACTTGCAGAGGATCCTCAGCTAGTGTGTAGCAGAATAGTGAAAAGGGAGGTGACTGACTTGTTACAGTCTAGTTAAAAGTTTGAGCTATTACAGGCTTATTAACACCTATATAGGCTTATTGACGCCTATAGTTTAAAGAAAGATGTGTATCACAAAGTGTTTTGAAGCAAGAAGGAATCCTCTGGAGGCTTTTGTGGCTTGATGTTGCAAGAGTTTTCAGTTTATGCTATATACATCTGAATAGATTCTGAAGCTGATTTTACTGACATGCTGCCTAGGCATTTAAAAGTGTGTTTACTTGTTTGTGTGTGTGTATAAATGCCTGGATGCATGCTGGGATTCTCATTTTCTTCTAATGTGTCAGCCATTTCCAAAAGTCAGGAATCGTTTATATTCTGAAAAAAGTCAGAATAGTTTATTAAAATAGAAGAATTTCTACTGCCTGTTCTGACAGAGTTCTTGGCATGATTTATGATGGGTGCATTACAAAAATTTTGATTGATCCTTCCTACTTACAGTATCCAGATGCTTGATAAATATAATTATAATATCTTTAGAAAACAAGATGGTAGAACAATTGGAACAAATGAAGAAAGACAGAAGGCACATGGAAAAAAATAGAGAAGAACTTGTCAAAAAAGCTAAAGGGCTACTGGAACAAAATAAGCTGAGGAGATACCATGGTACATTTTTAATTTATTTTGGAGTTTGGAATGATTGGGAAACACTGAAACTAATGTGAAAATGTTTGTCTCTTTGTCAGTGAGCTTAATTACAGAGAGTGCAGTTGGCTAAGCAGTAGCTCTGAGAAGACTTATTTGTGTAATAATATGGTAGAAAGGTTGAAAAGTCTCCTACTTTTTTTTTTTTGGGGGGGGGGGGGGCAGTTTTGTAAGTCTAAAAATATGCTGGCTTTTATAAACTGTCCAAGTTTTTTCCTGTGTATATACAGCACCCAAAGAGCTATTACTGGCCATTTTGCTGTTTGAGCCTTGAGACAATTGACATACTCTAAAATTGCCTATAGTTGGTGCTTACTGAGGTTTTACTGTGGTGACAGGGCTTATGTTCCAATTGCCAGCATAGTATTTTTTATTTTTAATAATATCTAATAATTCAGCACATGGCATGGAAGTTATAAGCCTTTCATGGCAAGCTTGACAAACCTTGTTTTTTAACAAAGGGAGTATTTAATTGAAATCTCACTCAGATTTTCTTTGTAAAATTATTTTCAAGTTTATACTTAAGCTATCCTCCTGATGTCACATTCCATTTATACAGAGATGAGATTTAATTACATTGACATTTTGAGAGCACTCTTTGTACATAAATACAGCTGAATCACTGGCAATCTCAACTATTATCTGTAGCTTTGTCAAAAGGAGAAGACATGCCAATTCTTTCAGTTATTCTCTGAGGGCACGGCTATGCTATGCTCTGCAGTGGAGTGAAGTTGTATTTTAAAAAGGGAACTTGGCCACTTGAAGGAGTGAATCTGCAGTAGCATGGAGCTGCAACGCAAGCTATGTTACCCTGCTGAGATTAAGTCCTGAACTGCTCTTATGTTGTCTTAAATTATGCTGTTCAGTTAGGTAAATAAAAGGTTATTTCACAAGAATTTGAACAGCTTCTGCAGGTTCTTTCAGGAGTATTTGTACCTCTGAATTATTTTAATGAGACTGTACAATTTCAGAAGTGAATGCATTCACAAACATGCTTCTTCTAAAGGTATGAAGGGAAGAGCATATTCTGGAGGCCCAGCAATAGTCCATATTTAATTTCATCGTAAGATTGCTGTGCTAATGGTCACTCTTGGTTACATGCTGTATAGTGTTCCAGTAGCCGGGCTTTTCTTTTTTTTTTTTTTTTTGGGGGGGGGGGGGAGGGGAGTGAGTTTTTAATAAAGAGTTATCTTGCTTTCTTAAAATATGCCTGAAAAAAGGAATAATTTAAGACACATCACAGAGTAACAAATGTATGTGGCAATAAGACTGCCACACCACATACGGGATATATATGTGCCAGCCACTAACACATAACAACATAGCTCAAGGAATCATGGTTAAATTTTAAGTGTTTCTCATGATCTTGGGACTTCTGATCAAAATTTCTGGCTGTGCAGAGCTCAGATTCTGCATAAAGACATTAATGCTGTTGCTATAAGGAGGCTGTGGACTTCGGACTGGTGAGCACCAGCCTTAACAGGTCTGGAGCACCTGTGCAGCTGAAGGCTGCAGAACTGCCTGGCCAAATGAAATTTGGGGTTTGGACCTTGTGTTTTGTCTCAGTAGACAGAGAGAACCTTATGCTGCAGGTGATTGTGTGAAAATTCTACTGCATGTATAGAGAATGTCATTTGAAAAAGATTTTCGTGATTTTTTTTTTTTAAGAAACCTACTGCTAATGTTTAATGTGTGCATTGGCCAAATGAGTCTTGTGAGATCGGTATCATCATTTCTGTCTTCAACAGACCTTAGAATAAGATGAATGAGACCAAACTGTATTACTGTTTTCCTTTGTAGTTCGTGAGGAATGGAAAAAGAAATACTTTGAAACTAAGAAGGCTACTGCTTCACTGGAGGATGTTTTAAACAAACTGCGACAAGATTTGGAGTTTTACCACCAGAAATTACTCTTGCAATTAGAAGCCAGAGATAGCCGAAAACAACTGAACAGTAAGACAAACTTGAAGGTATGTACCTAAACTATTTTTTTAACACAATTTACTTTTTTTGTATAAAACATAAATGAAAGTAACAAATTCATCATCGATGACTTCTAAACTAGCTTTAATAGCCAAATATCTCTCAATAATCCAAGGTGTGGCCACTACAGAATTACCACATTCCATTCTTCTCAAAAAGACTGAAGAAATGCTTGAGTCTAAGGATTTTAATCTTTCAGCTTTGTGTTTGTACAATACCTTCTCATTACAAACTCCCCTTTTGTTTCGTATGATTAATGAATTGTTCAGCTCTACCTTATTCTCATCTAAAATTTCATGTACAGAGGTGATGAATTCTAATTGTTTTTGGGGAAGAGGCACCTCTGAAACTCTTGGAGTGGTTACACCTGAATTATTGTGCAACTGAGTCTTGTGTTACATTGTTGGTGTCAAATTAGGGGAAGTTCAAAGAGGAATTAAAAAAAAAAAGATAAAAGGGGAAAACACCCTTCCCAATAGTTAGAGCTGCTGTTTTTTTTAAATGTATTCATAGAAGCAAGTCTAGTTGCGAATCTGAAGCTAGACTACGAAATTTATAAACTGGTGGAAGTACATGTAGTGTCTTATGCTTGTATCTGAAAGGGGGGAGGCAATCTAAGATTGTACATTATATACAAATGTGGATTATTTGAGATAATATATCTAAAATATAAAAATATGAAGTGTTCATATTACATTTCTATTACGAGTTATGTTCAAGTATGTTAATGCTTCTTTTTGGGTGTCAGGGTTTTTAGACCTCCTTGGCAGGGAACAAGGCGCCTCTGTACAAAGGATGTGCATAACTTCAAATGCATACAGCAGTTATGTGTTGGCTAGCATGCAGAGATGAGAGCCAGGACTTAATGAGCTATGAGGCTCATTAAGGAGAACTGTGATCTCCACCCCTCACAAGTGAGGTGAGGAATTGCTGCTGGCCAGTCAGGCAGGAAAAGCTGGGCGCTGGGATTCCAGGGAGCAGATCCTGCTGCTGCTGAGCTCTGTCCTCCACCAGCTTTGTCCACGCTGGTGACTGAATGCGATGACGGGTCATTCCTCCGGAGCCCCCAGCTGGTCCGACTGCCCAGCCTGCTTTTTTTCTTTGTGACTGTGTACCTTTCCACGTTTTCTCTGTGGTTTCAACCAGGAAGCTAGGGTCTCTGTGGTGTAGCAATCTTATCAACAAGTAAGTGTACTGCCTAGGGGAGAAAGTGATGCTAAGTCTGTGAGGGAAAAAAAATTATATATATTTGAAGCGTGCCTTTTTATTTTATGTGGGGGGTAGTTGTAAAAGTTAATTGCAAAACAACTTCATGTTAACTCAGGAGATCGGATCTGGACCTCAACTTCCCAAAGAGGGAGTGGAAGAACTTCCACACCTAGGGGAAGTGGAAGGGCTGGATGGTTGTTGAGGAGAGCTGCCCTCTGTTGGGGAGCAGACTGTTTGCAGAACGAGATGCCAGGTAAGCACTGAAGACTGGAAGAGAGTCGAAGAGCTGGAAAGAGTTTAGAGAATTGTTTCTGAGTGGTGAAGTAATACTGAATGAATGAAGAGGTATCTTAATGCTCAACTAAAGTTTTTGTTGTTGTTTCATACAGAATAACAAAATCATCCAGGTTACTAGAGTGCAGCATGAACTCGATCAACTGAGGAGGAAGCTGGATGATACAAAAATGAAGCTCATAATAGAAATTAAGGTACTCTGCATTTATCCTAGTTATAAAGTGTCAGAATCTTACATGGTACAAGACTATCTTTCTAAATATTAGATAATTTAAATCATAGAATCGCTTGGGTTAGAAATGACCTTAAAGATCATCTCATTCCAAGCCCCTGCCATATTCAAGGCTGCTGCCCACTAGATCAGGCTGCCCAGGGCGTCATCCAACCTGGTCTTGAACACCTCCAGGTGTTCAAAATACATTTGTTGTACAGTTCTTATTTTCAAGTTTCATGGTATTAGTTATCATAATTTAGCAATTGAGCCAAATTACTCCAGAGAATTAGTTCATAAGATGATTTTTGAATGTATGGCATTCAAGTACTTACTTACATTTTCAAGGTACTATGTTGCAATCTTTTTCATGAAATTCCTATTCCACTCTGATGGTAATTGAAGGAGCATACTAGGTGAGATACTGGTGAGTTGCACACCATAGCTAAGAAAAAAAGAAAAAGGTATAAAGGAAAAAAAAGGAGGGAATGGTTCTCCGAGCAGACAGCAGTTCTCTTCACCTGCTTTATTCCATACCATTGCTACCTGTGGCTTCCTTAGAAAGGAAGGTGATGATACAGGCCTTCACACTGGATAGACTATGAATAGCTATGAATGTTTGAAACCTGAGTCTTCTGCATCAAACAGATTGCCCGTGATCCTGTTTACTGTCTAACCTAGGGTGGGTACACTTCCTCCATTGTATAACAAGGAATGAAAAGAACAATGAATTCCATGGTTGTCTCTTAAAAGCACCAAGGCATAGTGCTAGAACTAAGCTATCTAATTAGACATGTAAGATTTCAAAGATGAAAGATGTATCGTGTATTCAGCAATCCTGTATAAAATTCAATCTTAGTTATATAAATTCATATGCATGTCAACTCCAAAAGCTTCATTAAATTACAATTCCTTAAATGACTGGTTCTTCTGCAGATGAGAAAGCAGGCAGCATCTGATTTACGAACACTGAGAGCAGAACTGACACAGAAGAAGATTCATTCAGCTTTAATTCTCCAGTCTGGGAAATCAGGTATTTAAGAGGATGACTCAACTGTAACATCTGTAAAGTCTATAGAAGTCCTATAATGTATATAGAAACTTGGAAATTCAGAGCATTTGTTTATATGTTCTTAAAGTTCTCTTATAAAAAGACATTAACTGTGTAAGTGTGGAATTTGTATACTAGCCTACTAAGGGACTGCATATCACTTTTTAAATCTGTTAGTAAAACCAAACTAAGTTAATCTGTATGTTCAAGTAGCTGATAAACATTTCACTAAGTTATTTTAAAAGTGCAAATTAGTGAATCATGCAATTTCAGTATGCTGATGTTCCTTCATTAACAAAATACCTATTAAGCACGTAAACCCATAATCTAAAACCTCCTGTTCAGATTGTTGGAGCAGCTATTTAATTTTTTGATAAATGATTAAAATGCATCTTTTTTAGAACTCTAGCAAAAGTAATTTTTATTTAGCTATTTACTGAAGTCTATTTTTGTCATTATAAGCATACGTATCTATAAATTGGTGTATTATTACCTTTATTAATTATGGAAAAAAAATCTCTAGTTCTTTCATATCTAGTTAGTTTTGTTTCCTCCCTCCCAAGAAAACTGCATCAACATTAGCTTTATTCTATAATTAGTGGAAGATGCAAGCTTTGTTTTGACTATTTCCAGTACTGTATGCTCTGCTTTTCTTTAAGTTCATGCATGTGCATGTACTTACATAACAATTCTCTAAAAATAATCAGAAACTCTTCTTAGTCATTTTTTTCTAAATCTGTTTGCTACTTTGAAGTTCAAGATGTTATTACGTTAAGTAGAACAATAACGTGCTAGGAATTCATGTCTGCTAAAAAGCTGACAAAGCTGTATTTGTTACTGCAAGTGAAACCCTGACGGGAAATCAGTAATACTGGAAGAAACTTATGCAACTTCTCAGAGGACTGACTTCCAAATGTCTTGAGTCAAACCACCCTTTTTACAATTCATTTTTTAAACAGAGGATTTGCATAGATTTTAGTGTTAAGTATTAAATTTAGTATTAAAAGAACAACTGCTTTTGCTCATTTCAATAATGAATCCTGTGTCTTGTAGTTCATAATTGTTTTAAGACACAAGAGCAGGCAATTGGCTACTGGAAAATCTGAATCAATTTTTTTTTAAAGTTAACTTTTTTGATGTCTCAATTTGGTCAAATATACCTATCTTGCAGTCTAGCATATAAACATAAATAGTATTTATGTCTTATAAATTCATCAGTTTTTCCACAAAAGCTACAGCCTAGAATTCTAGCGGAGAGCCCTCTGATTTACCAAGGGGAAAAAAAAAAAAGGATGATGCAAACTTAGTAGGTTTCACCTGCTTTTCATCACCTGTAGTATCAAGCAGTCAGATGCTCAGATCTTCTCCTTGGCATCATCATGGTAGTGCTTCTGGTTCTGTGCTATTACTCTATGTTGGTTTCCCTGTAACTATTTAGCAAGAAAAAACAAAAACAGAAAACTGTCTACATATGTCTAATTAAATAGTTTAATTAATGGAGTCACTTAAGCAGGGCATAGTTGCACTTCAATCTGATTGTGAAACAGTTCTGAGAAACAATGTAGGCTGTAAACCACGGAACAAGTAATGCATAAACAGACAACACTTTATCAACCTTAACAAAAACAGTGTTTTACTGAACAACAAAAAAGTTCTGTAGACAGCAGTCCATCTCTCCATGCATTAGGCAGCCTCAGCAGAGTACCGTTATTAGATGACCCCTGTAAATTCACTTGGTCTTACTTGTTACCAGATATGTTCTAAGTTGAAGCTTTAACCAACTTTCTATGGTAGTGAAAAATTAAACGGGTGATAAGTCTCTTAAAGAGCACTGCTGAAGCAATACCGGAACTTTATGAAGAATGAAGATACAGCTTTGCATACAAAATAACAAGATGAATTTGACCAGCTCTCAAAGTTTTGATTGTAATCATGTTATGTTTATAAAGAATTCTGTTATACATTATGTGTCATAATAAAAAAAAAAAAATAAAAAAAATCTGATTTTCATAGTTCTATATCAAGTGATTCACAATTTTATATACTTCTTACGGTGTCAAGGCTTGCCACATTGCTTCAGTTTGTTGTTCTGCAGCAGCTTCCCTGGAATAGTCAAGACTATTTCCATTCCACATGCCAATGCCCCTTAGGCCTCTGTTCTTCACATAGGCTGCTTTAAGAGAGATGCTGTGAGGGTCATCAAACCATACTTGGTGGAACTGACCAAGAGAATCCTACGAAAACACAAACACTTCTGTAGATAGGCCGATACTGACAGTAATATGATACATTAAAGTCTGTTGAGTTTTGCTTACACCTTCTATTCAGTGCAGCATCTATCTTAGTTTAGATCAGTCATCAACATCAGAAAACTGTAACAATGAAGAATGAAGCTATAGGATTTCTTTGGCCAAAACACCCTTTTTGACATTACAAATTTCCCCTCAATAAAATTGTGGAGCAATGAAAACCTGTATTATGCCTGTAGCGTTCAGCCATTGCACCCCATCTTCAGAAGAAGAAATTCAAAAGATGAAAATCTGCCCATCCTTTACTACGTGAAAAAAAAAGTAGGAAACAAACTGAAAAATCTAACCCTGAAAACTTTATAATCAAAGAACTATGGTTCATAAACACGTCCGCAACATGCATGGCATCTTGTAAAGGGAGACATACCTTGTATTCATAAAACGGAGACTTCTGTACCTCATCCCATAGCACCCCTGAAATAGAACTGTTCACCTGCTTCATTATTGCTCCGTAGGGGACCTGACGCCCTGCGGCATCACTGCACGGAGCCCCACGGAAAGGTATTTTGGAAAGGGAACAAACATGATCCTGGGGGGAAAAAAAAAGCAGAGTGCAGGAGTTTAATGTAATGTAGATTTACTGAACTCCAAAATAGCAGTACAGCCAATAATAAAGTCACAAAACCCCCAAATCTTCAACTATCTGTGCTAGTCATGTTACTTCCAAACAGAAGTAAATTAAACAGATTTTGTTCAAATTGTAGTACCACAGAATTGGATTGTCATCATTCAACCTACACATTTGTCTTATCTTTTCCCCTTCCACTTTTAATTCCTTACATTTTAATTCCTTACATTTTTCTTAAGTATAATGTTTTTTAAGACTCCGTGATTTATCCATAAACTGCTGTACTTTAAGTCCTAGTTTTGCTATTGTTTGTTACACCTGATCTTTAAGCAGTGAGCTTAATCACTGTTGAGAAGGCAGGTAAAAGTGTTGTAGTGCCTTTAGACATCACCTCTTCCCATACAGATAACATCTACAGCTCCTCAGTGAAATATGGTGCTTGGGTATATTATAGGGTTCAGGTTGCCCAGGGGGAGATAAAAAGCCCTGTTTGGTAACACACTGCTTATCAGTTACCAGCCAAAGAAAAGTCTTGAGTACCAGTTTTAAGCTCTTAACCATCAGACCACAGAATTTCCTAATCCACAAACAGGATCCCTAACATGTAGCTGGCTCCTTCCAAGGAAAAAAAAAGATTAACAGTATGACTGTAAATGAATAATCTTTATCTTACCTCAGATAAATTTAGGCAGACATAATCATAGCCGTACCAGGGGACGCCCATCACAAGCTTCTTAGGATCAATGCCCATAGTAATGTACTCTTCATATCCTAGTTTTGTAGGAAATAAAATTAATTATTGCATTTTTCCATGTTTTATATTCTTGCAACTAATCTACAGCCAGAGCCAGCACAGGTCATACATGATCCCTGGACAGAAACTAAAGTGCAGGTTCTTTACCTCCCACCCACAGTCATATATTTTCTCTATTCACATCCTATAGATTTGCTCACACCTTCAGTTGTCTATAGCAGCTTTTGCGACAGAGCCAATAAGCATTGACATATTTACACTAATTCAAACTTCATCAGTAGGTATTTCTTAGAAAGCAAGGAAGACAAAACAAGACAAAACACTAAGAAAGCGCTGTTTTAATCAGGATTCATTCTCATTTGCCTCTCAGCTCACCTGTGCTGACAGCTCCTTGTGGGTCTATGTAGGAAAGCAAATCAGAGAACTGATCCAAATTTAAAATAACCTCCCTCTTGTCTTATTTGTAAGACTGTCAGTTCCCTAATCCAACTCACTGTGAATGTGCATGAACAGCTGTACCAGCCAAAAAAGAAAGATGGGAATGCACACAAGAGACTGTTTAAACCCACATTTGCCAAAGGAAGCTACAGCTTCAAAGGGATCCGCACAGTTCACAAGGATGAGACAAATGTTGCAGGTTCTTTGCAAGCCCAGGCAGACACCTTTGCTTTGGCTGCCTTTTGTCATTCTAAAAGTGTTTTTCACAATCATAAGGGCGAGACAACAACTTTACAAGTAGGAACACACAACTGCTAAAAGTCTATCCACAGTGTCATAGGGATCTGCAATACTGGTTTCCCACTAGAAAAACACATTATTTGAGGCTACTAGAAAATCTCAATAAAACAAAAAACACGTCTAAGAAAAGGCAATTGTTTCTAACCATTCATACAAACAAACAGAAATATTCCAATTTCTGAAGAGGCATCTGTCCTTACCAACTAAAGTCTGGAGGTAAGGAGCATTGGCTTTTGCAACACAATCGGTCCAGATCTGGCTCTGTTCATCATAAGACATCACAAATAAGAAATCACAGGCATCTGCAATCCCAGTGTAGTTGTAGCACCTTTTATCAATGCATGCAGGGGACCAAGCCACATCAAATGTTACCTGACAGAAAAATGCATGTTAGTATCATGTACAGCACTTAGGCACTCTTGATTTATGGTTACAGAGCTGTAACTTTTAAAGAGTATTTCCCTAAGGTTGCAGAATGTTCAGCACATGGTGATACCAATGAAGTATATATGCATCAGCTGCTCAGCTGATAAAGCGAACATTAGGTAATAAGCTGCCATTGTTAGTGAATTCAAGGCCCAAAATGCTGTTTTCCTGAGTTAGTTCACCATTTACCATGTAATTTTAAAACACCAAAGAAATTGTAACATGAAAACCATCTGATCAAAAACAAGAAGCATGATGCAAACTTTTAAAATATCAATAACCAGCTTACGACAACATTAGGAAGCTTTTTCACCAGAAGGCCCTGCTTCAAAAGAGTCCTTAAGCCATACTAGTAACTGGCAGCTCCCCCAGCAGGGCAGTAACACTGTACCTGCAAATCTCAACGAAACCCTTCTGCCATTTAAATTAATGTAGGTCAAAGAGAGTGATTTTTATGATAGAAATATATATATATATATATATATATATATATATAGAGAGAGAGAGAGAGAGAGAGAGAGAGAGAGACTATATAGTCATATAGACTATATTGTGATATATATCATTTTATGATAGAAATATATATATCATAGCTAACATTCATAATTAACTACTGATGATAGTATCATGCTTTAGATTTGGCATTTATTTTCATATTCATATGCTAAACAGCATTCTCAAAACTCCATATGTTTCATGAAGTTAAACTCAATGTTTGTATGAAGTACATTTTTATTACCTGTGATCCTGGAATCTCTCTGTGAAAAGCATCTGTAGTTTCTTTAACAAGCTCTGTCAATGCATAATATTCAGGGGAGGTTTCATTAACTTCTTGCTCTATATCTATATTAATTCCATCCATATACTGTTTTTTGGCAAGGTCCACCTGTTGGGATATCCAGGCTGCTCTTTTAGCAGGATCAACAATTTCCTTAAGAGGTACGTCACCTAGATAAGAGGTGTTCAAGAGTCAACATAACATGTATTTGCATCACAATAAGGAGGAAAGATTTGTCTTTACCAAGCCAAGTAATATAACCAGAAAATAAAACATCCCCACAACTATAATGGCATCTACTTAATCCTGACGCCATATGTGAAAAATAGGAAGGGCTTAATTTAATTTTTTTCCAAGCATAATTTTGAGAATCCATACCAGGAGAGATTACCAAACTTATTTGAGACAGTCTTTAAAACAAAGTTCCTTTTGGAATTTGTTTTCTACAGTTTTAAGCATCTCCTTCCTTCTACTTAATACTTTTAGCCACTCTTAGTTTCCTTCCTTGAAATCAGTTGACTTCCAGTATTTCCACGGAGCCAGAGACTGTGTCTTACTGCTTAAAATAAACATACTTTTACATTTAACCTTTGTTGTTCTCCACATTGTGGTCTTTGATTCTGTTTATGCCTCATCAAATCCAAGACCAGAACATATGCATAGGTTGACCCAACGGACTTTGTCTTTCTAATCAGCTTTTGTACACAAAGCTCCTGAGCATTCACGTTTTCCAACTCCATCACGTCCTAGAACACAGGGATTAACTGAAGTGAAAAATACTAAAAATTGCTTACAATCCCATTCCTTACCCTGTCTTTTGGGTATTGTGCATAACATCCAGAACACAGACCCAAATAACTGTCTTCTACAGCTTTACTTTCCTCCCTTCCTTGCAGCTCTCCTATGGCTGTGAAGCTCCGTTAGGGGAGATTTTATTTGGACATCACCAGAATGGTTTTGTTATTACTGTGACACAAGCCATCACTGGTTTTCTTTTTAATACCCTGCATACCAGCACACGCAAAATGCCAAGGTATTATAGCCCTGTGTGCATTATCCTCTTATTACTTAATCCTTACTTATTTTAACACTTCACATAGCTGTGGCTGTAAAATGTCAAGGTATTCTAGTCCTATGCACGTTATGCTCCTATTTACTTAGAAATACCCATATTTTGATGAGTTTGCCCACCTTTTAGCACTACCCTGGCACCTTGGGAATGAGCGTAGCACATAAGCTCTGGATCATACTTCCCGAAAGCTGCCACAGTTGTAACTTTCGACCAGTCATAGGATTTCCAGGCCTTCTTCCCCACATCGAACACAAAGACCTAGAGGCAGGAAGAAGTCGTCCCATCAGTTCCCAACCCTTCTCCACGGGACCCTTCTCAAGCTCTCCCTTCCCCACCCCTCACACGAAGCCCTGTGGCGTGGCTGTGCCACTGCTGCAGGTGGGGAGCTCACGGCCCGGAGCTGAATCCAGCCCCCTGGGTGCGCCCAGCGCGGCTCACCCCGCACCGGGGCAGCTCCCAGCACCGCAGCCTCCCTCCCCGCAGCCGGCCCTCCGGCCACGGCCAGCCTCGCCAACCTCGGGGCCGCCGGTGCCCGCGACGGGCTGGCAGAGCCGCGGCTCCCGGCAGGGGCAGGCTGCGCCTCCGGGACCCCCCAGCAGCTGCAGGAGGCCGAGGGGCAGCAGCCACCGCCCCCACGGCCGCCCCATGCCTGCGGCCTCCGCTTCCGCGCCGCGCCCCGCGGCAGGGCGGGTCCGGCCGAGCAGCTCCGCCCCGGAGGCCGCGGGGCCGAGGCTGGGTCCCCGGTGAGAGGCCGGGGGAGGCCGGGGCTGGGCGCCCCTGGGAGGTGGGGAAGGGCCCGCGGCGCCTCGTGTGGAAGTCCAAGGTCAGGGGAGCAGATGCACAGAGGGAAATAAGCTCGACGAAACGCTTTTAGAGAGAAATGGTTTATTGAGAGAGCCAACCCGCTTAAGGGAACCCAGAATTACTTCAGAGATCTCAAAATAACTGTGGGGAAAATAATTCTGTGAAGCAGGCACGGCCTTGGCCTCGCTGGGCTGCACAACCGTGTCCCCAGTTGCACAGCCTGTCAGCACTAATGCTGAAGTGCAGAGAGGCGTGAGTGCTGTGAAGTGGAGCGTCATGCTGAGCACGACTGCTGTTCACAGGAACAGGCCGTGTGAGCATCCACCGTGCTCACTACATCCTCAGACTTCTGGTCTAACCTCATCTGTTCCTCCTCTGGGTTGAGAGTGGAGTCTGTAAATGAGAAAAGAGGAAAAAGAAGCCACGTGACTAGTTTTTGGTTTTTAGTACATTGAGGTACTGGCTCAGTGCTGGTATGATCAGCATCAACAGTTTTTCACATCAGCACAGGGCGTAACCCAAAGCCATATAAAAATTAATCACAAAACCATTATATAGGTACAACTCTTGGTGAAAACAGTAAGACATCTGAATCTAAGTGTTGAGGATCGTTCTTGTGGGTTTAGTGTGTACCACTGTTGAACTGATGTAATGTTTTGGTTTTTTTGTTCACTTTTCCCATCATTCATATTTAGGTAGTGCGAACTCTAGCTCTGATGCTTGCTAATATGGCTTATTTTCTGGTATGCAAAGTTATTAATATATTCCATCCTTTTTTTTTTTTTTCTTTTTTTTTTTTAATTTACAGAAGAGGAAAAGGTGAAATGCGGTGTCCCTGCCTGAGAAAGCTTTTTGTCCTATGCTAGCATCCTAACAAGCAGAGCAACTTAAACAGCCAGATGAAGCCTGGGCTGTAGCTCTGTGTCACACTATGGAGAAGAGGAAAGAGTAAGAGTAGGGAGCTGTGTAAGAGTAAGAATCACAATCCAACATGCACCTTGCATTGTGCACAAGTACACTGTTTTAGACTCACCAGCTGGCACGCAGTGGAAACCCACAGAGATGGGAACAGTTCTGGTTGCTGAGCAGCCTTCTGCACAGTGTAAAACTGGCTCCATGGAAAAGCATTTTGAGACCTTTTTGTCAAATGCAACTGGCTTCTCAACTTTGACAAATCTACGCTGCAGCTTGCAAGCTATAAAAAAAAAAAAATGAATTATTTTAAATAATCTATAGTTTATATAAATAACTTCTGAATTCAGTGAGTAGGATTAGCAACAACTAAGACCAATGGCCATACTGACAAACACAAGATACATGAAACTAATCTCACTCAAGGGAGTGCTATTTTCTATCAAAGACTTGGACTGTAAGGCATTTGGAAAACAATCCCCAGGATGGAGGCATGTTAAGTCAGATCTAGGTTGGGCACAGGTGTGGAAATCCAAAAAGATACCTGTGCAACCCTTGCTCTGCTGGCACTCAAATTTACCCAAACTACAACAGCACTTCATTTTGGGGCAGTAGTGGCTCCTCTACATCCATATATCCACTTCTGCATTGCAGCCACCTTACCATGGCTGAGCAGCTTAGGCCTTACGACTCTATGATCTGGATTTCCCTAGACCAATCTCAGCAGGGGAGCTTGACCCTGAGAGCATGTTCCAGAATGCCACCCCTTGCCCATGTGGTGTGGTGCACCCTACCGTGTTCAGTTATGCTCATGTTGTTTTTATACAGGAGCTAAATGGTAAGAACAGTCATTCCCTGTCTGACGATTTCAGATTAATTCCATCTTCAACCTGAGTAAATTAAAATATCTATTTCCCACATAAGTGCCCTCTGTTTTGTTAGCCAATGCTATTTTTTTTTTGTCATTTTGTTTTGTTTTGTTTTTGTTTCTTTCTGGGATTTAAAAGCCTGAAAACAACAGAATGGAAATAAAGCATGAAACTTTTAAGTACAAGATAAAATGTCTTTTGTTAACAGTTAAACTATCTACTTTTCATACTATATTATCAGCCTGGGGAAATTTAGCTTTATAATTTTATCTAAAATGCACAAACTTCAGGTAGTTAGGTAATGTATAAGAAAATGATATAAAAATGCAATAAAAACAGACTTTGCAGAGAACTACTAAACTCAGGAGAACGGACTGTTTTTCAGCCTAAGGAAATTAATCACAAATTAATGAACAATAATACGATCATTGTACAATTAATATAAATCAGATATGTAAATCTTATGACTATTCATGTGACTAATGAATAAGTCAAAGACAATGATACTAATATATGTTAGAATCCAAATACCTCCAGCACAGGCATCTTCTGAGACGATCCAAGACTGAGCAAAACTCACTGCATCTTTGGCTAAGTATCCGCTGGGCATTTGATATTCCCTTTCCTTCTCAGCATCGTATCTTCCACAAATACCACATGTTTTCCCAGCCATCCAGAAAGCAACTCGAATCTTTATGGAAATAATAAATAAATAAATAAATAATAATAATTTTAAAAAAACACTTAGATATTTTTCTTCTAAAAATAAAACCACAGGGAAAAAAATAATACCTCAAACCTATGTCCATCGTAATACAGTTTATCTATACCATATTCAGGGGCTTTTAGTGACAAGCCTTCCTTTTCACTGCTGATCCGCATGCTTGCATCTGTAACAACAAAGCAAAAAGATACCTTTGCAAATGAGGTTATTGTTTTAGGGTCCAACCTGAACCCCTGTTAAATTCATGGAGACAATGCATACTGTAATGTATGGTGGAAATTAAAAGAAATGGTGGAAATGAGAAAAATCAGATCCCATCCTGCCTTGGACTAAGCCAAAGCCCTGTGACTAGCGTGGCCATGGCAGGGGAGACCTGTTTGCTTGTTCTGGGCGTCTCCATGGACAGCACAAGGTGCCCTAGCCCTGCATTATTTGGTTTGTGGACATACAAGATTGGCACCTCTTTCTTTGCTCAGCTTTCCTATCACCCCCATGAAAGCAACTATGAAGTTATATTAAAATCATCCAATTATTTCTCATTTTAGGGTGATCTTCACCTTGAGAGGGATTTTCAGGATTATGTCCTTCTTCAAAAGAGCAGAAAAGATTAAGTGAAATAGAAAAATGAGTCTCCTACCAGAACTGGGTGTGTACGGAACATCTGTTGGGGTTTGAACACCATTAATCTTCAACTGGATGCGTCCATTGGAAACATACATGTCAACCTTACTTTAAGTAAAGGAAATGAGTATAAATAAATGTTTGTCCTTCTCACTATTCAGATCACAGTTTCTAGTCCTGGTAGAACCAACACTGCAGGATGCTGATATCATTTTGTGAATAATTACCTGTTACCCTTTGGGAAGAAGATTAAAAGAGCCCAGAAAAGTGTGCCAGAAAAGGAGTACTCACAGTACCCCTTTCCCCAGTTTTCTGAGCATCTTTGTGTCACAGTTCAAGCAGTAAGACACCAGGCTACAGAAACCCTTGCTACAAAACAATATAATTCCTCTTATATGTTCACATATATTCAAGGTGCTTTACATTTCAGAGGAAGATTGGGTTCTGTACAGCAGTTATGATCTCTTACAGCTTGAATAGCCTGTGTATTATTTTCTTGATAGCAGTGTTTGCTCTAATGAAGAAATATGACACATAAGCACTTCAAAAGCACATGAATGCTGTATTTAACAATGAGAAATGATACAGTGGCAAGGAATGTATCACAAAAGATATGGTCTATGAAATAAGCATCCTTGAGTTCTTCCACAAAACAGGTGCAGGGAATACTAGTTTCCCTCTGTTTCTCTAAGATTATGGAACAGATGGGCACACAATCTTCAAAAATAAATAATTACTTGTAATGAAACCTTACAGATCAAAGCCTATTTATGCACTTTGAAGAACATTCCCTACAATGATTTTGGTATGCATAATCCTATACTACTTAGAATATCAGACTATATTTTTAAAGAACCTATGGTTGCTCCAAGACGAAACAAAGCATGTCTTAAATTAGTTTCAAATAGATTTAGCACATCATGTACCAACTAAAGGATGACCCAAGAGAGTTCATCTAATCTGGGATAAGTAATTCCCTTTTTAGGTATGTCCACTTCTCAACATCTCTGCTGAGATGATTGCAGGTGCTAACTAGTCCTAATTATTAGTTTAGCATAGGAGGTCAGACTAAATTATTACAGTAGTCCCTTTTGGATTTATAGTATATGTTTCTACCTAATTACTGAGAACTAAAATGAGACGGTTAAATGTTTACAAATTAATGAAGAGTTTCAGGCAGTAAAGACTTTAGGTTACTGTGAACCTCAGATGTATTTCAGAAACAAAGGACTTCTCAAAGGCAAAGACCCAAATCTCAGTGACATTCCTAGAAATCTTTCCACTGATGTCAATAACTTTTCCATGAGTCTTATGAAGTACCACTCTGCCCTTACAGTCTGGTCTTCACATTTATATCAGCTTGACATCTATCTGTCATTATGTTTGCAATTACTTACTGACTGGCGAGTCTGACATTTATTGCCATAAGGTCAGCAGCTTCTTCAAGTCTTTTCATCATAACCAGGAATTTGAGTTCTGGACTACAATCCTGTGCCAAGACGTGGAAGCAATTCACAGGCATTGAATAGTTAAACTCAACTCCATTGAAGGTTGTGATCACATTTTGGGAGACTGAACAATGAGCTGAAAAAAATAAGTTGAAAGTGAACCTTTTATACTTCAAGACAGTTACTCTATTCTAAGTGGGAAGGGGAAAATGAAACAAGTAAAATTCTCCTTTTTTCACTGTTATTGTATTTTGTTGGAAATCTTACCAGTTCCAATTAGAAATTATTTTACAACAATTTTAATTAACAGACAGATGTTTAATTAACATTGTGTTTTTAGCAAAGAAATATGAAATGCAAAGAAATATGCGTAGGCATGATATTAGTCCACTGATTTCAGGCAAAATGTGTCTCCTTATCCCAGAATTACATAAAGCCTTTCCACTAATAATTTAACCTAAGTATCTTATGATTATGTCTTAATACAGCAAGAATGAATAAATAACCCTTTCAAATCAGGTGCAATGGGAAATTAATGCGTATATTTTTTAAGCTGTTTCAGCTTCTTTGTAGCAGTACAATTCAAGCAGAACACCACAAACCTGAGGTCACTTAAGTGTCCTTCTCATAAATTTTGTATTGCTTTTTTTTCTCCTGGAGCAGTCTCTGCAATGAAGTTCAAATGGATATACTGGGGGAGAGCATATGTCTGAATCACTGCTTGTCATGGTACTGAATACTTAATGTTGCTAACATGCTTCATTTCCTAACATCTTTGCAGCCTCAAAGATTTTCATTACTGACAGGTTTACTTCTATGTAAAGTCCAACTGATTTTTCAAGTGAGCATAAAACACTTTTAAGTTACTTTAAAAATATGAGTCATATTTACAAAAATCTGCAAAGTAGGTACTTCTGCAGGTAGTTAATTGCTGACCTTTAAGGTTTTCGATGATTGAAAAGGTTGTTTGAGAAAAGATGTCCCAGTCAGGAGATGGTAGCATTGAAGTCAGAGTACCTGGACTTGAAGGGAATGGCAGGGGAAGCCTGATGGCTCTATTGTAAATTGTGAGCTGAAAATGAGTCAGAAAACAAACATGAACATAAATGCCAAATACAGTGTGGAGATGTTGTAGCATTTTCCTATAACATTCAAAGAGGCCTGTACTGACTGAAATCTAAATTAGACTCTAGATTTAGGTCAAACCTAAAAATAAATTAAGTCTTCTATCTACAGAATGAAAAAGGTCTACAATTTGACACATCTGCAATCTACAGAATAGCAATATTATCAAATAAGTTTGATATTTGCCAATTCACAGTTTTTTCCTGAGCTGTACATACCACTTGCTCACAGTACAAACAGCTTGCTTACTTGAGATGCTCATCCTTTTCTTGCCTGTATGCTGAGGGCTAATATTTATCCATCATGATTCTCTACGGCCTGGCATTATTATCTCTTCCAAGACACAGCAAAACCTATCACCTCCCTGAAGATTTTTGGAGGAGTGGTCTTTTTAATCAATAATTACTTATGTGTTATCAATCATGATTGTTGTATTACAACCTCTTTTTTATTTCAAGTGTCAACACGCTACATGAGAAAGAAATGTGCTGTAAGATATTCTCATAACAGAATCAACTATGTGAACACAAGGCCCTTGTGACGGGGAAACTTCCTTATGGTTTAGTAGAATAAAAAAAAAAAAAAGTGGGATAAAAAACACTATTAATCTTCAATTTCATACGTATGTATTGCTCCAGAATAAAAGATAGTGGAAATATTTACCTCAGGTAGCCTGAGGACCACATCGCAGGTTCTTGGAGATGTCAGAGCCATAACCATGGTTGTCTGGCGAGAAGGACCACGCTGTTGCCTTTGGGAGTACCCAAGCATATATGCAGCCCCTGGAAGATATCTGTAGAACCTAAAAAACAAAGTAACTGATTAAAACCATCTATCTCTGAAAAATTTTTTCAGCATTTGTTCCGGCTGAAGCACCCCCATAAAGCAATATGCACTCTCTGTTAGATAGATGTTTTATAGTATGGTTTGTAACTTGGTGTTGTCTATGGGAAGAGGAACAGGCAGATTTTAACAGTGTTAATGGGTGAAACAGTCTTCAGCAGACTGGATAGCAGCATGACCTGAGAAGAAAAGTATAACCACCTTTTTCTAAAGACATTCAGAGTTAAAAAATAGGCACCGATTACATAAAAACTAAAATACAAAATTACCAAAAAATAGATGACTTTTTATTAATATTTCAGTCCTTCAATACACATTTTTAGCAAGGATCCATTGTATCCAAGGATTTTGTTTTAGCAAGGATCCATTGCCCACTAAGATTGTCAATGAGGTGACAGAGGAGCCTCTATGATCAGGTTCCATTACAAAGTCTTTATAAATAAATTATATATCTATATCTATATCTATATCTATATCTATATCTATATAAAGGCATAGTCTTAAAGAAGAACAAAGCTGAATTCTGTAGCTTTGTTCCGGGATAGTCAATTCGATGGTTTCATCCAGTATAATAAGGGGACATCAAGGTAATACAATCCCTTATAAAAATTAAATGCCTGCTCTCCAGCAGACATTTGTTAATCAAATCACTTGTATCCCTTTAAACATGAAAGCCTGAGCTGTATCTATAACTGAGGTGTCAATATTTTGGTATTGCTGTGAAGAAAAAAATTAAAAGAAGCTTAGATAGAGATCTCAGTGCTTTTGTGGGTAAATGTATGTGCAAGTACAATGAATGAATTAATACAATGATAATATATAGAATATGGATATATATGTGGATAGTTGTCTATATGAACTGAATACAGAAGTTAGTTTTCTTATACTAAGCATCATGCAACATTTGCTGTTTAGTGTTCAATAAATCTTGCGGAAGTATTCACATCATCTTCTTCAGATGCCAGAGGTAAGGTGCCCGCATTAGGAAATAACTCTCTTAAGGCACCCTGTACAGTCAAAAAGAGACAGACTCCTTCAGAGAACTAAGTTTAGGCTTCTACTTGGAGCTTCCAGGGATTAGGAAGCATCAGGAGACCCAGTTCCTAATTCAGGCACTTTAAATTAAAAGCTTACAATAAATTATGTCAATCCTGACATCCACTTTATTTCAAGCAGTTTTCCTGCAAACAAAAATGCACTAAATTTTGAGGAAATGAATGCACAGAAAAAAAAATAAAAATAAGAGAGAGACTGAAAAAAACAATCTGACATAAAATTATATTGATTAGGGGAAATTCTTCTGGATCAGAAACTGCAGAACTGAATCTAATTATCTGAAGCATTGACATGGGTGACTTTTTCAAAAACTGAAGTATAATCTCACCATCTTGCAGTTCTTCGGACACTTGAAGGTACTTTTGGCCACACCAGCTTCATCTGCATAGCTGGATGAGAAGCAAACTTCCCTGTTGCAATCTGAGTAGCAATGTGGTAGTCCTGGCAATCTGTACCCCATTTAAGGGAACCCTAGTAGAAGAGAATACATATTTTTTTGTACAAAGCATAGTAATACTGTTATATTTCATTTGCATTTGAACTGATCACATTTTAAACTCACCGAAGCTTTATGGGAATTTATTACTGAAGCATCAGCACAGAGTTTCCATCTATTGGATTCTGTGATGCTTGAAACAAAAATCTGTATCCTGAATCTGACAGGCTGTCTGTCAGCGTACAGTACAAGCTGGAATCCTGTCGGCTGCTCATTTCTTCTGATGGCACGAAGAATTGCAGCCAGTATTGGTGGCTTGCTGTCTCCCAAGAATTTAGGCTTAAGTCAGTAGGGAGGAAATAGAGACCAAAGACAAAGCATTAGAATTACTGTATAAGAACAGAAATAAAAAGTATTTGTAAAGGAAAAGCTTCATCCAAGTCTTTTTATATAAAGTACATGACAGTATCATAGATCATCACTCTAGCTATTCAGTGCATGTGTGGTTTTGCCAGTCTTTCAAGGGAGTGCTCTTACAACCTTTGTAAGTACCACAGTAATGTTATTATAAACATGCATTCATTTGAAATCCATGGTAAATGTTTTTATTTCTTGTGTATGAAGACACTCACCTGAGACATAGCTGTAGAGATGCCTTCATCACTAACTGAAGAAGATGAGGAGCTGCTGCTGCTGCTGCTGCTATTCAGAACTTCCCTTTGTGAGTCCTGCAACAACAGAAAATCACTCTGAAGCAAGTTGTTTGCCATTGTAATTAATCGCAGAACTAATTTTTCATATTTTTATTTTGATTGAACTAAGTTCCAGTCAAGCTAGTGAGAGCAATTATAGGCCCCCCACAGGATAAACAGAAAATGTACCTGTTCATCTGCGGGCTTGAACCAAAACCGGTAAATGGGTAGATATGCCTGTGAAGATAGATAGTAAATAAGAAGATCCAAGAGAAGAAAAACAACTAACTTTTGACAAATGCTTTAATAAGTTCAGTATTGAAATTGGAAAAAAAGGTGAAACAAGATGCAAATGTTTAAACGTTTTAAACTGAAACCTTCTGGAATGTGAATTTCTGAACTGAAATGCTTCAGAGAACCAGAGGTTAAAAACAGGAAAGAGCTCTGCTAGGTTACCTCATCCATGCTGCAACAAACAGTCTGTTTTCTCTTTCTTCGGTACCTGCCCATTGGGCACAATTTCCTGATTTCAAGTACAAAAACATTCACTAGAAGAAGTATAAAGAATCCAGTCTGGGTGAATTACCTGTTGGTTGGGATATTCACTGTCCCCAGTACAGTGCTTGTCTCCAGAGCTGTTCTCCCTGCTGCTGCTGCAGATCGTACTGCTGTCAGAGCCTGCACTGCTGCTGCTGCTACTGCCCTTGCTGCTCCTGCTGCTGCCGCCATGCTTCTTCCCAAATTGTCTTATTTCTTCATTCTCATGTTTATCTTCAGGCTCGTTACCATCAGCAGAGGAAGCAGTGGAAGAAGAAGATGAACTGGAGAGGGGGTTTGCACTGGGCTCTACCCAGAGGTCTGTAACAGCAATCTTTACTTTGCTGTGAATCCGTTTCTTATGGTGCCGTGTCTTATTTGCAACCTCCAAAAACAGTTCAAAGAGTTATGAATTTACAGCTCTGTAACATTTCTCTAGATGTCAGACAAGCAGCTTACCACAGCCTTTCAAGGAAATAGCACTTCCTTGCCTCCCACACTTCAGAAGCTGCATCAGAACTCACCAAGACCCACCCCTCCCAAACAAAAATCCTTGCTTTCCCATGCCAGTTTTCCACATTGGATTTCAAACCCTTGGTTTTGTTCATGGGAAAATATTCCCCCGTCCAATGCTCAGTCTCTTACCTTGAACACATTTTCAATGCCTAGGATCTTCTTCAGTTTAGCTTTAATGTTCTCATACAGAGATGTCTCCTCCTCTTCTTTAGACCCTGAACTTGCTACATTGATTATTTTGGAAGCAGCTTTGGGCCCAACCTGAATCTCCAGCTGTATTTTTTCAATATCAGCATCTGTATGAACTAGAGTCAAGATACTTATAGTTCAGTACGGTGCTACATGAGCATCATTCACAGAGATTGACAAAAAAGATTTCTTTCATTACTGTACCTGGCTTCAAAACTATCTTGGCTTCAAGTTCTCCAACTAATTTGTGCAGATAAGTATTTCTTAAGAAAGCAGAATTTCGGGACTTTAGGCTGAGACAAGCAGAACATCCCAAACTGGATAATTCTCTACAGAAAACACGTTCATAAGATCTTTGTCCTACACTGTGGCGATGTTCCTCTTCTGAGGCTTGCTGGTATCCCTTGAATATCACACTAGGGATGTTTCTTTGCTGTATTAAACAAAAATATGGTAAATGAAAAATTTAAAAAAAAAAATGAAAAAAAAGAAAAAAAGAAAAAAAAAAGTCACAGCCCCTAAAATCTTTGCTGTATTCCTATTAATGATGAGAATGATGACAGTCTTGACTAAGAAAGGAAGCACTGCTTAAAATTAGAAATTCAAGCACTGGAAGAAGTGGGATTTTTTCCAAAGTGCTCTGTGGAAGAGGTCAGGTCTCCTAGCCAGCCTTTCCCAGGCGGTGTTTCACAAACAAACTTCCCAATGAGAACCTCCAGGACTCTTTGGAGGGGCTATTTCTCTGAACCAGTTTTGGGATACTATTCCTCAGCTGTATTTGCAGTCAATATATCCTTTCCATGCCAGCAGTAGGCCTCAGAAGCTGAAGAGCACATCAGAGAACGGGCAGACCCCTGCAGGGATTCCCTTGGAATATGGGAAACAAACTGTATATCCTGCCTGAGCCATCCTTTCCAGACTGCTTTGGCTCTGAAAAACAGGGTACTGTACAAAGGATGTGGCTTTCACACCCCCTCCCCATGACTATGAAGCAAAAGGAAGACATGCTGTCAGAGCAACCTGTCTGCATGAGATGACAAGAGCCAGCAAGCCCTGAATGAAAGTGGCTTGAACATATTGAGACTTATGTTAGGCCTGGTTTGGGATACAACAGGCACCTGCTGTGTCTCACAGTTTCCTTGTTTGTGATCTGATTAGGCAGCTGCTGTGTTGGGGATGCTCAGCCCCAGTGAGATCTGTTCTGTTCTCTACCTGCCTGCAGTGAAGGCGATGTGAGGCCTCGTTACCTTCCAGCTCTCAGCTCTTGAAGATATTTCCGATGACTGAAACTTCTGATTGAAGATACTTGTTATTTCTCCTTCGGGGAGAATATGGGTCTTCTTTTCGGAATCTGCTTCTTCCATGTTTCTTGAAATAGCATAAGCTTCACTCCTGTGGAGGTAACAAATGGCAAACAAGTAACATCTGATTTTGCTTAACCCCAATTGTCGTTAATACCAGAGAGCTATGGGCAATACAAAAGAGAATATTAAGCTTCATATGGCTACCAAACTACAGCAGAGCCTGACAAGAGTTGTAGGTTCTTGATCTTATAACAGGGAGCTCACAATCAGTAACAAATAACAAGTGAAATGTGGCTAACTTCTGTACCTTACAGCTGCAAGCTCAACCTCCTGGTGGCAAGGAAGGGTTTCAATCTTCAAATTTTTCTCTTTCATATTAACCGTGGCATCAAATTTCATTGTAGTGTTGGCACTGAACTCTGCATGAAATTCAAGACCACTCTGAAAGTATTGCATATTAATCCCCATTGTTGCAATCATATGGAAATATACTCTGAAAGAGTGAAAATAAAAATATGCAATTACAAAGTACAAATTAACATGCATGTACTTATCTTTGAAAGGCAGAATTGCATTTTCTTAGTGTTCTGTTTATTTTAAGAACCACTACTAACAGCTTAAAAAGATATGTAACACGATAAAAAAGCTAAAGTGCCACTGAAAAAACTGAAGGGATTTATCTGATAAAACTTGCATGGATCCTCTCACAGCCTAATCACTGATACATTGCTTGATAATAAGCTAATGTCAGAATCTTCCTATAGCTTCAGATTTTGTCTATTTTTTTCACTATTTTTATTATTATCATTATTATATCATATCATATATCATTATTATGTTATTAACATCATTATTGTTATTAGTGATGTTGCTTTTGTGGATCCACAAGTGTTTTCCTTTTCTGCCTGAAATCCCCCCAGCTTGTGCCTTCTGAAAAACTTTATCATATGTAATCAAAAATGCTTAGTAGCTTTAGTCACTGAGCAGGTAGAAACGTGAGCATTTTCAGCAATGGCAGAACATCGCCACATTTCTCTTTGATTCAGTGCACTGTGCTAGGCTTGCATGGTCTGAAAGCATCACATGATTGTCTTACTTTCTTACAGATTCACTGCTCAAGACTAGCACAGTCATCCCACATCTGGGACAAATAAGATACTTATGTAATATAACTATTTCAAATATAAATATAAATGAATGTGTGTATATATATGAAAATATATCATTTTTACTTTGGTTGGATATCGGCATGAATATCTGTGTTGGTTTCCAACAACTGTGATGGTCTAAAATTGTCAGATAATGGTGGTGACAGCTGAATATCAACTGCAAGAGACAGAGAGAAATTATATGAACAGAGCAAAAAAAAATAAAAATGCTGGGGATACTATTTTTTCAATAAACATAGTAGTTAATGCATGGGCATTGCTTTTACATTTTGAAATACTTCACAGGATTACTTCAAGATTATTACTCCGAAACAGTTACAGAAGTATGTCCCAGATGAAACATTGTGATTACTTATCAGCCCCTGTGGAGGTGTCTGGACAGTGTTTCCCCATTACAGAGTATTTTTTGAGACTACAGAGGGATTTACTTTCAGCAGAGGGATTGGAACCACAATTATTGGGAGGAAATTGCTCAGTAAGGTGTCCCAAGCTCACCATAGGCCGCAGCCTGGGCCAGCACAGCGCCGCTCAGGCTGAGCTCCAGTGGCATGCCAACCACTGTGGGGACAACGTGCCGCAGCTCAGCCACCATTGCCGGCAGGGTCCATTGGCCTGAAATGCCTCGCTGGACCTCTTCCACTGCTTTTTTCACCACTGGCTGCCAGTTTGATGATCCAGTCAGACTCTGAATACAGAGAAATTGGTTAAATAATCAGGGAAGATGAGATGGGAAGGGAAAATTATTCTGCATCACAAACAAAAAAGGCAACAGCCTTGTCAGTACCATTATGGTCTGCTGAATGACTTTGTTATCAATGTCAACAAAGGCAATCTCCTGTCCCAATATTTTGATGTAAGTGGACACCAGAGGGTCTTCTGGAGGCAATTCTTTCCAGCCCAGAAACTGCAGTGTTAAGGAGGAGAAAGGGAAGAAGCAGATACATTTTCTTAAAATACATTATTGTATTAACAAAATGTAGATCACATTTGAAGGATGCTAACTATGGTTCCTTAGCCAAAAAAAGTAGTACACATCTTACAAGTCTGAACTGATGTGGCCTTCCTTATGTTGCATAACTGACTTCAGTGGGAGTTTCCCCACATAAGGATGAGGTAAGGACTCTGTAATTTTTGCTGCTCTAAGTAGTGGGTGGCACCCAAGGGCTCATAAACAAAAGTCTTATTCAATAACCATTTTAAGAGAGAAGAGCAACCACTTACAATGTTTTAACATACACTTTAAAACAGATGAATTTTGGCTACCAGCATCATCATCATCTTTTGTACTGTACATTAAGGGCAGCTTTGCGTGGTGTGCTGACACATGGTCAGTGAAAAAAATGGTATTTGTTCACAGTCTAAGTACAATATAAATAAGAACATCTTTCTGTGACCAAACAGGATGGCCGACTCCTTTCTCACTGGAACATCAAAGGGATGGCTAGGAGGGTAGCTGATGCAACCCTGGGCTGGTGGGAACTACATATTGCAAACAAATCAGGAAGGTGCATAAAGACGTACCGTTTTACCGAGTTCCTTCAGTGTCTTGTATGTGTCATATTCAGCAAAGGGAATATTCTGCTGCCTGATAATATTGATTAGGCTTTGTGATCGTAGAGCCACCTGTAGGAAACAGCATCAAACATCACAGCCCAAGTGCCAGAGAGCTCAGGAATACCTTTCTACCAGGTATTACACTCACGGAGGCCACTCTAAATACATACTTCATGAAGCCATAGCACTTATAAGGCAGATGACTGGAGGCTATGACTGCAGATGCTGAGGATGTGCTGAGCTTTGAACTAGTCAGCAGGGATAATTTTAGGGCAGCTCAAAGATCAGCCCCGGCTGCAAAGCTTGCCCAAGAAGCTGAGTAAATGCCTGCATGCTGTTACATGGAGTTTCAATCTGCTGGGGCTGTACTGCTGGCTGAAGTTTAATTTCAGCTGCTTATTCCCTGTACTTATGCAAAATGCCCCACACATCATTTGACATTAGTTAGGCAGACAAATGCTCTGCTATGTAAGCTTTCCTTTGCTCTCTTAGATTTTCATGCCTATACTGAATGTTTTCATTGCTAAATCTACATGTCAAAAAGCCCAAATACAAGTAAAATCATAACCATTATCTAATTTTTCCCTTCCACTCCAGTCCTTACAGACAGAGAAAGAGGCAAACACTACATTGCAGTCCAAGTGGCTTAACAAGTAATGCTATGTGTAGCTAGGTTGTATCTATCTGGTTGTTTTCATGAAATACTTACCTCTATAATGTCTGTTGCAGTATTTGCATAATATCCTCTTACTTTTGTGATTATATCAGATGGAAACATAGTGTTGGGACTGTTCATTAGATAGACCCTCCAAATTGCACCAGCCTTATACACATCTATAACAGGAACAAAAAGCAGCAGAGATTTTTCTTAGGGTCTCCGAGGTGACTGGTGCCTGTAAGTTACCTTAGGTGCATGCTTTACTAGATCTCAAATGATTCTGCCAGTATTCAGCCCCGTAGGTCCTCAAGCTTGTAACCCCAAGAGGGAATCTTTGTTCTAGGGCAGAGTCAACAGGACCAGAGTGACTGAAGAAGGAGGCCTAAATCCATGTGCAGATAAGACATCTCTTTCCCCAGCAGATACCCAAAGAGTAGTAGAACACCTTCAGGGGATTTTGCATTTCAAGAGACTCTTGTGCTTTATTCTGTTTCAGGAGTGCACTAAGCCCACAGCCCATGACAGGATTTTGTATGGAAATTGTGGAACACAATAGATGCCTTCAGATAAGCAAGCCAAAGCAGGGAACATGGCATCTGGTACTCACGGGAATAACCACCAGCATGAATGACCTTGCTGTAACGATAGCTCAGCCTGTCAAGTCTGGGGCTCAGTAGTTTAATGGCAATGTTGCAAGCAGCAGATCTGAGTAATAAAGAGTTAAAATCATATGAAGATAGTCAACTGTGACCAAATTCTTAGAAAACTGCAAGAAAAATCACCACTTGCAACTAAAAAATGTACTTCTTTCTTTACTTACAGATTGTAGAGCTGTGGGATCCTGCCTACTGCCAAAGCCTTCATGTGTGAGTACGTGAAGCTGGCTACTTGTAGGCTGGTCTCTGACAGCAGCGAGGTGGCCATAGCTGCTACAATTGGAAGAGCAGGCTTTGTTTCAAAGAGGACAACACAAGCCATCATGCGGACATTAGGAGCAAGTGTATTGTCCATAAAGATCTGGAGAGAGATCTCCCTTACCTGGAGGAGGAAGATACAACATGTGAATACCACATAACTCCTCGGGAAGAAATATTTTTTAAACTGTGCGTGTCTGATGTGCAGTGAACAGAGAACAAAACCCGGAACAGAGACTTGAGCATGGGGCCTGTCACTGGAAATGAAGATGCTGCTGGCTGCACAGCGAACATGGATGGAAGAAACAGCCATTAGTAAGGGGCCCAACATTACCGCAACTGAAGCAGTCTCTTTCCCAGAATGTCAGCCAGGATAGGGTGATGTCAGGAATTCACAACATAGGAAAAGACAAGACCTGTAACTATATCTGCCCAGAGTTGCTAACATTACCTGATGGCTTTATTATCCCTGCATTGCTAAGTCAACCCAAGTTACACCCTATAAGACATTTGTCTAAATAATAATTTCAGTTACTTTTGCAGGGTCTTTTCTGGCAATTTTCCTCAAGGCCAGTACGGCATCAGCATGAATTCTGCTTGGTAATGAAGTAGCAGCAGGTGAAAATGTTGGCAAAAACTTCAGGATGCGTTTGATACTGGCCGGCTCTCCTGCATTGCCTATAGCTTTCAGGGCCAAGGCCATGTCTTCAGCATGGCTTCTGCTGGCAGCTTCAGCAGCAAGGTCATGGAGTGGCTGAAAACACATCAGACAGTGGTTAATCATGTCAGGCAGCAATCTTGTAATAGCGTATAAAAATACTCATTGCCAAAGCAAATAAAACAACTACTGGTGCAAAGCCAAGTAAAGATGTTCAGATTTTTCTCCCAGGAAGAATCTCACCATCATTATCAGGACATCATTAACACAGAACATACACACAAACTTCATTTTCTCCTTGCAGTGTTGTAACTGAGAGTAATTTGTCCCTAAGCCTGACCTTTGTTTCAGTCTTTTTTTGGAAGATTTAAACCCATTCCAAGCAGCAGCAGGCTGTCTCAGAACTGTAGTCCTGCTGACTAAGGAACCGGAGCTGCATAGTCCAAGGACAACGACCTGAATACTTCTGATGGTGATATGCAAGTATGCAGCAGGGCCTCTTTGGAAGCCCTAACCTATGACATATCTAGACATATCTTTGCTTATATTCACGCTTCAGTGCCTTTTTAATATGTATTTTTAAGTTTGATCTACCTAATGTAAAAGTAGAGAGAAGAATCATAATTATTTCGCTTTAATCCTGAATTGTCATACATAAATTCTAAGTTGTTTACGGCACTTGTCATACCCACAGGCTTCTACCACTTACATTTGAAATTCTGAACTGTTAAGACCAGATTTTTCAAAGGCATCAGCTCAGCATTTCATTTTATCTTAGCAATTTTGCAGGTGATCACAGCTAAGAGTGAGGCATGTAAACACCTAGTTACCTAATTGCCAGCATTGTGAGAGGTAAATTAGAGTCATTAAAATAATTTCTTCACCCCTTATGAAATAAGACATGAGAGTCACCTACCTGAAGAAGTTCATTAGGACAAAATGAAGGCTGAGCACAGTATTTATTTACCATGCTACCATACCCCAGGTAAACAAGTATTCGAAGCATTGGTGCTTTCTGAATTTGGGGACAGGTCAGAAAAGACTGCAGAAGAAAGAACCAGAGTCGTTAATGTTTCAACTTATTAGAGATGGTATTTAGTGAAAACTTATCTTATATCTGAAAAGCAAATAGACAAAATTGCTTTGGATTTTTTCTAAATATTTTTAGAAGTTAAATAAAATGCTAGTGATTGAGGTAAAATTAAAGCAAATACCATTGCTTCAGTTACAAGGTATGTACTTTATATTTTGGTTACATTGCATTATTTTCTACAGTTCCTCTTTTTTGTTGTTGTTGTTTTTTATTTGTATTTGGCAAAAGAAAACAGCAATTTCCCTGGAATCTGTGGGTTTTAACAGCATCAAATATCAAAGCCATTGAAAAATTTTTGGCAGCAAGTGTTTGGAAACATTTTCTAGACCATTCCCATGTTTGTTAATACTTTACAAAATATCAAGGAAATATGTTGCATCATTTGATTGTAATCCTGTGAATTCACCTTCAGAAATGAATGACAGGGTAAGAGAAGGAAGAATTATCTGTACTCACTGAGGCAACTTCTAGGGTTTGCTTATTGGGCATAACGAAATGGAAGGCAAGAGGGAGAACAACAGCTGCTTCCCAGATGTTCAGCTTCTTATCATGGATTTTTTGTTTAAGGAACTGGAACGTGTCAGTAGCTCCAGCAGCACAGACAGCACTCAGGAACCAATGCCTGCCGGGGAGGGGAGGACAATTACCCCCATTGCCCAGTGCTCCTCTGGTGGGAAATCCTGGCTGACAGCAGTACAGTTACCTGTATGGAGGTTCACTGGCAAACTGCTCCCACAAAGAGTTGATTTGATCAAGGGTCACTAGACGGAACAGCTGAACCATTTGTAAGAACTTGGCTGAAGATTCTTTAGTGTCTCCTTCCTCATTATTCTTAACTAATTGTTGCAGAGTTTCTGTTAACTGTAGGAAAAAAAAGCAAACATAAAGTTGAAAGGTGGCATGTCTAAAATAATATTGTGATGACTTGTTAACCTTATAAATAATGAAAAGGAATGAAGAATAAGCCTCCAATACCTGCCCATCTGCATTTTTTATCCTTATGAGAGGAATTGGCATCTGGAACAGCTCTTCTGAGAAATGATAACGGAGACTTCCCTGGTTTTGCAGTTGAGCTTCTGGTACATTTACGGGAGTGTTTTTGATGTCGACCAAAACCAGTGCTTGTCTTCAAGAGAAAGAAAAAAACGCTTCAGTAGCATTGTATATGAGAGTTGGGCACATACAGCTGCTGGGGCAGGTTGAGGGGTGCCCAGCAGGGAGCTGCACTGACCACAGATAGATTACACACTTCTCAGGTTTGTGCATTGTTTAGGATTAACTGAAAATGTTACAGGACTGGCAAGAGCTTTCATTATAGTGTTGCCACACTACCAACATGCACAGCACCTACCTTGCCTCCATGCCTGCTGTGCCATCAGGCTCATTGAACGGAGAGACCTGGTACACTTGCTCCGACGTAGCAAATGTTATCAAAACCCCGCTGTCATCATACTTCATCTTGTAAGTGGACATCACCGTGCCCTTCACATTTCTGACTTTCTAAAGTTGCAAAGAGACCCACTCATAAATGTGAACAGGAACCAGTTAATTTATCACAGACAAGCCAAATTCCCTGCTGGTGCCAGCGCAAGGCAGGATTCGTGCTGGTCCTACCAGGGGGCAGGTGGGGCAGGGGCGGATGTAAGCCATGCCCGTGTTCTTCACTGCTCTGTCCTGGCAGTCAGTCAGGTCCTTGCTTTTGGAAATGGTGGCACGGTTATTCTTGCTGTCGTCCTGGATAACGTATCTGGTTTGGCAGATGCCTTCAATCCCAGCCTGTGTGTTGATTAAACACAATGAACTTTTCACTGGAAATGGCCTTTCATTACAGCAATAAATAGGTCAATGAAAATTGCCTGGAAAGCATTATGTTCAGGCAAGCCTCTATGGAACAGTAAAACGAGAATAAAAGTAAAGTCAGAATGGAAAAGAAACCAACCTCTTGTAGTTCATACACATTTTGTGACTTTTTGATCGTTATCTGCATCATGTTCAGAATCCCTCTCACTATGTTCGTGCACAGGATGGGGCAGTCTTCAGGGGCATAAATACTTCCCACCCTGCCCTCATTGTACTCGAACTTAAAGGCTTGGCTGAAACATGCAGCAATGGTCTCTGTGAGCTTTGAAGATGGAGTGAAGGAGTCAAGGGGCCATAAGCCATGGTATTCCTCCAGCTTTGGCGATTGAACCTGTGAACAGAATTAGGAGAACATTCATCCTTTTCACCACAGTGCAGTAACGGGGAAACTGGACTCTTCTAGTCCACAGACAGACACAAGTCACTTGTTCAACACTGCAAGAAATGTTTTCCTCCTCAGACTCTTGTTCTGGGGCTAGGGCATGGCCTCAAAAATGCAATTTCCTTAAAGGATTTCTGCCAGGAAAGGGTCATGCAAAATTTCAGCTAATGTGGTGAAGCTTGCAGGGTGAGTGAAACTGGCTGTCAACTGTCTGTATGGAAAGGATACTCACCTATTTTCCCCAAATTTTCAGTGTGATCTCCCTTCAGCCTGAAAATCAGCCAAGCTATCCATCAAGCAGCCTACATAGACTCACAGGGGCTGTGTTTGCTCCTGTCCAGCACATCCCAGAGCACCACGGCTGCAGCACAGCTGATGGGGAGGCAGAGACGGCCACAGGACCTCACATTGGATGGGCCAGTGGGGCGAATGTCACCTTCTTTGCAAGCGGCTGTCATTGCTTCCAGCTTATCAAGCTGTACAGCTTGCTTGCAAGTCCTTGACTGCTACCTAGTGGGAAATGTGTGCCTGCATGCACACACATAGTCACATATACATACACATGCCTCCCACCTTCCTCCATAAAAGTACGTGTTCCTGTGCAGAGGGAAATGGTTTTAGTGGCCCTGTTTTTTAATCAATACAGCAACAGTGTCTTGCCTCCTTCTCAGAGTAAATCCTACTTGACTTTTGTCTGTAGTCGCTAAAGTCATACCACTATCTGTGAGGTTACAACAATCATGCAGTTGCAGAATTGTATTATATTTGATAATAGGTGTTCCCTCTCACTGTTTCAGTAACTGCTTCAGTAATACAGCATATTCAGTAAACTCCTAGGATGAATGCTGAGTGCCCTCTTACAGCTCTCCTCCCTGCCATGGTGTCATCCCTTTTCTACCGTCTTTTGTTCCAAGCCAGTCTTTTAAGATGTTTGGTTTAATCTTTTCTATGTGTAACAGCACTTCCAGATCTGGTATCATTATATCAAGTGAAAACATTACCATTATCATTCTTCACATTTGAATTAATGCCTATGTGAAGAATATCAAAAGGAAGATAATGGAGACAGACTTGAATTTCACATGTGATGAAGGAATTTCAGCACTGAGCTTTTCTCAAGCCATGGACCAGGCTGAAACATTGATATTTTGTGCTTGAATTTGCATCATTTTCATACTCAAGTTTAGTGTTGCCTTACTAAAACTATCATGAGGACATTGCTTTAAAGCAGCTGCCTGCAATGTCTTTGCCTGGACCTGAACCTAAGGCAGATTTATCAAGAGGGGCAGGTACTGATGGCCACAGAGCTGGGGCAGCTCTGGCTCCCTCCCATGGCACTGAAGGATGCAAGGGTGAACATCTCTGCCGGCGTCTGACATTGGGCTTGCAGTCATCTCGGCACCAGGAAGGGTCCTAAGCTTTTGTGCAAGGTTTGCATCTTTTTCTTATTTTACCAGCCTGGAGGTATGACCCAGACTTCTGCGTTATGTAGGCAGATGGATGGGTTCCCATGTCCCTTGCGACTTACCTGGAGAAGGTGGTCACTGCGGGACACGCGGCTGATCTGCAGCTTGCAGGTCAGCTTCACCCCTGCTATCACCAGCCCCCTGCCCTGCAGCCCATGCAGGATGAGTCCCTCATAGCCATACAGGTAGGTCTTGCCGGTATGAAAAACGGGCTCTATTAAATAATAAAAAACAGAAATGCCTCCTTTGTTGTGGTGCTACTCACGGGAACCGTCCTGGTAAAGAAGAGTGAGGCTGGCTGCCCCAGCAGGCTGGGCACAAGCAGAGGGCACAGCAGGGCTGCCAGGGAGGGTGGCGTTGGAGCCGCTGGCTGGTGGGAGCACACTTACCGAGGTCATGCTTCTGAGCCCCTGCATGGGAGGAGAGAGAAGGATGCATGAGAAAACCCAAACTTCTGCAGAGACTTTACATTTATTATTCATTTACTGAGTGTGCCAATGGCTGGCAGACAGAGAGTAATGCACTCCTGGGGCAAACCTCACATACTGTGGGACAGCAAGCCTGCCCCAGCCCCCCTCACTGGCTGCTGTTTGCTTTTCCCCTGCTCCTACACTTAGGCACAGAAATCTAACAGTTTACAGCCAAACTCATTAAAAGGCTTCAGCAGATTGTGCCATGAATGTCCCTGAAAGTCCCCGAGGAGATGCAGCTTCCTGAGGTGGCCATCACAGCTCAGAAGTGCCAGTAACGCTTAGACTTACCCACAAGGGCGAGCACCAGGGCCAGGATGAGTCCCTTCATGCTTAAAGTGACTGAATGACACAGGGCAAAATGTGCAGCTTTTATAGAAGAATTATTAACAGGCATGGGAAATTTTGTTGAGTTATCAATTTTTTATCAACCACTCTAGCCCATCAAGGGTGAAGGGGTTGGGTACAAGGTGCCGTCTGCTACTGCTGTGCCAAAATCATCACAGGCAATCTTGTTCTCACCTCACCACCTAAATGCTCTGAAAGTATCTTTTGGAACAGGTGCTTAAAAGTATTAAAATATCATTAAAACTAAATTATTTATTGTGTAAGAAAAAGTACTAATTATCCTTATTCACTGGAAGCATCTGGTGCTATTGCAGCCTGCGCTAACATTGCCCAGGTTATCCTGACCTGAACATAAGGCACATATCTTATCTAACTGATAGTGCTTCAAAAGGATTGTGCAAAGCCCCGGGCAGGGCTCCTGTGACACCATGCTGATGTCCCCCTGCCAGCTGTACCTGCTGTCACCCACAGTGCTGCCCTCTGAGGTTGGGGAACTCACCCAGCAACACAAACCTCAGTCACGAAGACCATAGCAAAAAGGGCTCACATTTCCCTCACCTGCCTTTTCTTACTAGGATATCACATCAGTGTCTTTGGCCAGTGTCGTTAGCCACAGATGGCTTTTGGTGAGGTGGGACATGGTGAGGCTGCCAGGCATTACGGACACAAACCTCTTCGGCTACAAAGATGTACAAAGTCTGGTTTGCCCAAACTCATTTCACATCAAGCAACATGGGGCAGCAATCTCCCTCCAGGGTAGACTCCCCTTCTCCCACCAGTCAGTAGCCAGCCACCTGCTGCCATTTTCCCTGTCCCTTTCCTGCAACCCCACAGGTCCAAGAGGCTGCTTGTGGCTCCAGGACTTAGCTGGATCCCTTGGCTCCCAGACAGCCACCAGCACCACTCCCACCAGAGACCTGCAGGGAGTGGTGGCCCAGCAGCCCCAGGACAGGGGTTTTCCCACTGGGGCTGCCCCTGTGTGCACCCAAACCTCTCTGGGGGTAGGGAACAGAGTTACTGCTTAATCACTGCCGAGGTCACAGGGCACTCAGCTCCACCAGCTTCTCATCAAAAGAACAGGGACTCCTAGCCAAGACAGTTTAGTTTTCTTAATTCTCTCCAGCTGATATTTTTTTATAATTGAGCAGCTGAGATGTAATTTATAAAAGCTGGCAAAGTGTGGATTTTGTTTCTAGATCAAGGATGGCAACTGTAGGATTAAAAAAGAAATAAATCTTACTTTCAAAATATTTTGAAATATAGCAAGTACTTCACCATGTTTTTACTGGTGCTATATTCTGGACCTGTTTGCTTTAATGTCATCCCTAGTAAAATTGATAGACTGACAGAAAAGCTAAGCCATTCATGCTATGAGCAACACTAGGGAGTTGTATCATGTCTTCTGAGATTTGGTGAATATAGCTAATGGATTTGAGTATGTAACTATTGGCAACTGGTGAGAGGTTCAAAAGCTAACATAATATAGCATATTTATATGCAGCTGTACAAGTTGTTTTTTTTTTTTTTGTTTTTTTTTTTTTTTGTTGTTTGTTTGTTTTGTTTGTTTGTTTTTGTTTTTTTTTTACAAAACACTTTATTTGTAAAATAGCCATGTCTGGACTTCTGGGACTGCTGTGGTGCAGCAGTTCAAAGTGCAATGCAAAGGGAGTTTGCAATCAAATCCCTCCTAGCCTTGGATGCAGTTTCCAAATCCTATGGGGCCCCAACAGCAGGGAAAGCCTCTCTTAGCTACAGCTGAGTCCTTTGTCAGCAGGGCCCCTGCTCCCAGGAAGAGCCATTTATTTTTCAGTTCTTTTTACCATCAGATTTGACCACTCCACCCCAGCATGCTGGGCGGCAAATGCTGCACCCTGGGGCAGGATCATCTCTGCTGCTGCTCCACAGCCTGCTCATGAAGACTTTACCTTACCTCATCTTTGTAGAACTGAATCCTTTAATTTTTCTGGGCCATTTCTTCAGTCTGTCAAGTACAATTTCGTCTCCCATTCTGTCCCCCAAATATACTCACACCCCTTCACAGTTCATATTTCTCCAGAAAAAATAGCCTGATTAAAAGGGGGGGGGAAGAAAAAAAGAAAAAGGAAACAACACAACAAAACAAACAAACAAACAAAAAAAGTAAGACAACTTTGAGGTAATGACCAATTTTGCTGTGCCCAGGAGTGGCCCTGGACAGCATTTCCCCAGAGCTCTGCTCGATGTCTGCAGTGTCAGGTAAAGAGACAGAGGCAGGATGAGGCCATGGCCTCCCACGAGCCATGCTCCAGCCCTGGCTGGGAACTGGGGAGCCAGCCGGCCAGCCTGGTGCTGAGCCCCAGGTCCTGCTGGCTGCAGCCTTGGTCAAGTCCATGCTTCCACGAGAGTTACAAGCCCCAGTAAATTCTGCAGCTTGGAGGGAAGGCACCTCACAGCATTACTGCCACCGCCCATGAGTGACAACGTTTGAACTGTGTCTGCCTCTCATGCCTGTCTTTCAGTTTCCTTTCAGTTCTAACAACATTACCTTTCCAAACTATAAAATGCATACACATGCATATGCTTGAAGGTGCCAAAGCTGCAGAGGAAAGCAAAATGGCACAATTCTTACAGAACTTTCTCAGGTCTTTTACCCAACAATCAACTCTATGCTCCACATGTTCACTGGTAAGCGCCATTTTGTCTTCATTGCTGCTGATTTTTTAAGAATTGAGTTACTTGCTCTCTTTTAGTTAATTTACTGAAGAGTTACATTTTTAACACCTCAGTAGGATCACATTCTGCTTTGCTTAACAGAGTTCAACATAGAAGCGAATGTGGTCAGTTATAAAAATGGCTGGCTATGCACATATGAATTAGGAGAACACTAAAGAGTTCGGACTGATAAATATAAAAGGGAACAATGCTATTTCTATTGAAATAGTGCGATAATCCTGATGACTTAAGCTACCAAGGAGCTCACTGACATCAGTGGTTGTGTCTGCACTGCCTCTTGAGGTGGTTCTCTCACAGAAAACCCACCCAGCGTGCACATTCAGCCTGCCAGCACAGCCCCAGGGTCACACATGAAACACTAACCTGGGACATACCCCCAGGCACCCTCTGGCACTCAGGACAGAGGAGCACGTCTGTCCCCGTGACCACGCAAACCTGCTGCGGGTGGGCATCACACCCAGGGGCTGTTTGGAGACCCCCTGATTAGTACCAGCTTCTGTGTGGGGAGTCTCAGGAACATAAGGTACTCTTGCTTCCCTCAGGGCAGCCTTGTCCAGAGGCCTGAGGTTCAGGCTTATTCCCTGATCCTGCCGTTCCCTATGGCAGCACTGGCTCATCGCCTCGTTATTATGGAGCACCACATTGTGCTGCTGCAGCAGAGGGTGCTGCATCACTCGGAGCTGATCAGTTTCTGCTGCGGTGCACACCAGAGAAGAAAGCAGTGGGGCAAACAAGCAGGAGCCTGGCATGCAGCTTCTGCTGCTCAACCTAACACATACCCCGGTGGGGCCAGACACAGACACTTGCCTGATGCATGTCTACACAGATGGCTGTCACAGACTCAAGAAGTCTACGAAATGCAGGTCAAAAAGAAGCAATGTGGATTTCCTCTTTCTACATCCAGTGAAATAAAAAAGCCTTCATCAATCTTTCCATGCACATATTTATTACGAAATCAGATATTTATAGGCAATTAGAACCGCTTCTACAATAATAAAGTTTAATACTTTAAATTACTTAGGAAAATTCCACACATCTTTAAGTATTTAATTTAGTATTTCTATTGTTTCTTAAGACGAGTCTTCTTAGACCACACAGTAAGAACATTAAAATGTTTCTGTTTTCTCCTGCGCTGCAGTGTACAGCTTCATGTACTGCATTCTTCATTTTCACATGAACATGCTGTGTGTGCATCAACAGTATCCTGCATATCCTCTGACTTCTGGTCGAATTTCATCTGTTTGTCAGTCATGCTAGTAGCTGAATCTGATGGTGAATAAGAAATGAAAAGTAAATAGTACACTTCAGAAGCAGTTTTGCAAGATACAGCATTTACCTTGCACTAGTCATTAATTACACCAGGCTTGGCTTCTCCTAGCTGTTACACATATTTCTATCTGACTAACTCAAACAGAGACGTTCAAGGAAATCCACTTAAGTAGTAAGTAATTTCTACATTGATAACTACTCTTCCATGCAGAGTTTTATTAATAATACATTTAGGAAAGGATATTGTGGCCTTGAAGGAAACAGACATGAACCTATCATCTCTGTAATCTATATCCACCTAATCTGATCTCTTAATATCTACTATGTACTTATGAAAGAGACATACTCCAGTATTACTGTACCTGTGGGCAGGAATCCTGTCCACACTTATCCATCTATTGCCCAAATCAGCAGAGGGAAATAGGATTATTTCCCAAAGGCAGAGACATATAAAAATATAAAAGATGAGGACCCCTGTTTCAGGGTTCTGTATATAAGCCTGAATCATCACATGCTTCAGGACGCAGGTTTTCTGCAGAATCACAATGTTGAGTGTGCTCTTACCCTGCCCTTACTCTGTTAGATCAAAGCTCCATGAAGGGGCATCCAGTTTAGATTTTAAATGCAACAATTAATGATTGTTGCATTTAATTAATTTCTGTAAAATTACAGAAAAACATCTGTATGTCACCAAAGAAAGTTTTACTTATTAATGAAAACAGGTAAAGGTCTTCAGTCAGACCAATCCCATGTTTCGAGTGTAATAACTGATGAGTCAAGGCACCATTTGGGCTTTTGTGCAGCTCCAATTCAGCAAGGTTTCTGTTGACTTACCAGCTGGAAGACAGTGGAAACCAACAGTTACTGGAGTCGTCTGGGTGACAGAGCATCCTTTCCTACAGCGTAGCACAGGCTCCGTAGAGTAGCACTTGGACTCTATACCTGCAAGCTGAACTGTCTTCTCAAGCTTCACAAATGAACGATGAAGTTTACAAGCTGCAACAGAATCACTGATGGTAGTTTACATTCTTATGTACAACATCTTCAGATCTCCCCAGACTGACCCATCTGCCAATGATGTTTCACATTAGCAACC